GGTATGAAGCAGTGGTTCTCAAACTTTGTTCTGCACCAGAACTGCTTGGAGGGCCGGTTAAAACACCGACTGCTAGGCCCTACCCACCCCCAGATTTTGTAATTCAGTAGGTCTGGGGTAAGACCCTAGGAATCGCCTCTCTAACAAGTTCCCAGGGGCTGCTGATGCTGCCACACTTTGGGAGCATTGGTGCAGCCCCTCAGCGGGTCCCAAGCCCAGCCTGCCCACCAGAATCCTCAGGGAGGGCTTTTTAAAGTGTTGATGCCAGGCCTTACCCAGAGATCTGATATAATAGGACTTCGGTGGAGCCCAGATAGTGTCATTTTAAGCCCAGATAGGGCAGTCAGGGTTGAGAACCACGGAGCTAAGGCTTCCTGGAAGAGCAAAGCAGGTCACATTCAGTCCTGGGTTGCCAGATTGAGTCAGTCGGTCTCTGTGTTCTTTGCAAGAAGCAGGTGAATGCAATCTACTAAATGATCTTCCTAATGTCTTTCTCCCTGCTCAGAATCCATGCTCTGACCAGATGCTTTTAAAAAGCATTTCCATGATACACAATTAAAACAGCAGACCCAAATTTTTTTCTTAACAATGCTGCCCTCTAGTGTCCTTAAGTAGTCAAATAACGTAAAAACCCACCTCAGCCATCAGTATGCAATATCCTATTATCACAATACTTGGGGGATTTTTCTCTGACATTAAAAAGAAATTTAATGTACGTTAAATTAAATTTTATTTTCTGGCAACATGAATCTCCACCTGCGGCCTCTCGGTTCTCCCATAATTTCTCCCTGCAGCCTCCTCCAGGATAAGAACCCCTGGTTAAGCTTTTACTACAAATACAATTAAACTGAAAAGTAGAGCCCTGGTCCTTCTCTCTTTCTATACATTTTATTGTTAAATAATTTATAGGGACAATTACAGGAGCAATTTGTGATATTATTATCAGTCCATGTGGTTCTAAAGACATCCTTTCCCCCGAACTTGGTGAGACGTGCCTTCATCCAATAAAGGCAAAATGAGAAGAAAAGAGGAAGCTAGCTCAGTTCACATGGTCCATTTTTACAATTTTCGTTGTCCTTTGGCTCTTTTTCAAATTGTAATACTGCAATAAGTCAAACTGGATACTATTTCCATTATAGACTGTTCTCAAAGATAATGATTTTGCTTCTGACAAAGAAAAAAGCACTCCTGGAGTTCTCCTTTCAGTCTTCCACCAACCTTGTCTCTGTGGGGTCAGAGGCCAAACAAATCGGGGAGAGAGAAATCACCAGCAGCTTTAGTGCTGGGACACTGGAGCGTCTTCATAGGCTCTTCCACACTCAGAACTATGTGTCCTCTCCTTTCCCTCACTTCTCACCCACCTCATTTTCACTTGACTGATAGTTCATTGCGAATAGAATTCATCAAACAGGAGATCCCATGTCTCCCATGATGAGTTCTACAAACCTCCTGGGTCCCACTGTGTTGGTAGACATGTCCTTCTCCCCCGCCCCCCCCATGTTGCCCTGCTCCATCTCACTTTAACAAGTCTCCCTCTCTCTTCTTTTTTCCCCCAATCCCCATCCCATATCATCAATAACTCCGCTTCTAGATCACTTCCAACATCATACAAGTTTATTCTTATATCTTCCATCTTTAAAATAAAACTTTCATCCGGCCGGCGTTGCTCAGTGGTTGAGCATAAACCTGTGGCCAGGAGGTCACGGTTCAATTCCTGGTCAGGGCACATGCCCTGGTTGCAGACTTGATCCCCTGGTAGGGGGCAAGCAGGAGGCAACCAATCAATGATTCTGTCTCATCATTGATGTTTCTATCTCTCTCCTCCCTTCCTCTCTGAAATCAATAAAAATATTTTTTAAGTAAAAATAAAACTCTCCTTTGACCCTAAGGGCCCCTTCAGCTACTGCCCTCTTTGTTCCATTCACTTCCAAACTCAGCCTACCCAGGTTGCCTCTCAAGTCTTCCCTTTCCCACGCCCGTTCTTCCATCAGCTGCAGCTTGGCCTTGGTCTTATCACACCACCGACAATGAAGCTGCTCTTCTCATGCTCCACAATGACCTCCCTGTCATGTGGCCAAATCCAATGGACACTGTTAGGGGCCCTTTGGACTTAAATGCTCACGGTGTTCCAGTGTATTGGCACAGCCCCTTCTCGGAGCATTCCCTGCTCTTGATTCTGAAACAGTTCCCCCTCTGGCTTCCTTCCTGCCCCTCTGGTTGCTGATGACCCTGACACCACAATGTCCAATCTCCAACCTCTGGGCTGGCTCTTAAAACGTCTTCTCTCTTCCCTCTGCAGATTCCCCTTACATAATCTCACCTACTTCCATGAATCTAAGTATGAGTAATAGACAGGTAACTAATAAACATATCACCTCCAGCCCACATTGCTTACTGTGTCATTCATTCAGTTATCTGCATACGACATCTCTCCTGGTAATATGTTACAGGCATTTCCATTTTTTTTGCATGTCCAATGAGGAACCATTGATTCCCCCCTTCCCCCCCAAAAAAACAAAAAAACCAAAAACCTGTTCCCCCTCAGTCTCCTTCACTCTAAGTGCCAGATACCTATGACATTGCCTTGATTCCTACCTTTCCCTAACCTGCCGCATTCAGTCCATCTGCAGGTCTTATGGATTCTTCCTCTAAAGTATATTTGCATCCATCCATTTCTCTATTCCACCACCCTATCCCGAGCCATCCTTGCCTCCTATCTGGAATATTGCAATACCTTCCTCAAGATCTTCCTGCTTCCTGCAATCCTCCCCCTGGGATTCTTCATGCAGTCAGAGAGAGCATTATGAAACAGAAACACATCCTGTTATTCCCTTACCTAAAAATGTTAATGATTTCCCATTAAACTTTGAATAACATACAAATAACATAGTTTTCCCTCTGCCAACTTCATCTTTTATCTCTGTCCTCTTTCCTTACTAGATCCTGCCACAATGGCTTCCTTCTGGTGGCTGGAACTCACTAAGTTGTGCCTCGGGGCCTTTGCACATGCTGTTCCATTTGCCTGGAGGTTGTGCTGCCCCTGTTCTTACCAAAGCTGGCTCCTTTTTATTTTTCAAGCCTACACATTACTCCTCAAGAAGACCGTCCTTGCCTAACCAAATAGGTCTTTCCTCTCATTCTCTATATCCGCCTGCTATTTGTTTACTTCATAACACTTCAAATTTTGTAATTACTTACTTGTTTACATCTCCATCTTCCCCTGAGTACAGGAGGTTTGTATGTTCTACACATGGATGAATCCAGCCATTGGCACAGTACCTGGCAGCTATTAGGCTTTTAATCCTGTGTGTTAAATAAGTGAATAAAGGTACTCCCAGCCTCCACCCCACCTTACCTGCTCAGGTCAAGGTCTCAATGCTGGCCATGTGGCCAAGCCGCGCAGTGTTCTGTGCTCATCTCACTGACTACAGACTAGAGACAGGGGAGCATCTTGGGGTTCATTTTATTCTCTGTGAGCCTCATCAGTGTTTACCTATAGGTGTGTTTCACCACAGTATCCCCAGCACCCAGCTCAGCAGACACTTAATACTGTTGATTGAATGAACTCCTAAGCTCAATGAAACCAGATGGGGAAGGAAATGGAGTGGTACGCTAATGGTGATGTCAAAACTCTGAATACTTCTGGGGCAGAAATTTTAAAAATGGCTTCAACTTCCAGAAATGTTTATCATTCCATTTGCATAATAAAAGAAAAACATGTTGTATAACTTTTGCTTTATAAAGGGAGAATAAACTTCCTAGTTTCCGTTGCTGAGTTAGTTTAGCTTATAAGCCAAATTCTACCTCTGTTGGTTAGAAATGGTGAATAAAAACTTTCCTGTCTTCCAAAGAAAGACACCAACCAAGGGCAATTTAAAATGGTTTACATAAACCAAGCAAGGAAGCTAAGACCCTAATCCTTCTGCCTCATTCAAAATCCTGTCCCCTACCAATTTAGACAGTGCTGTTTATGAGAAATAAAATAAGAATACATCCACCTCAACTCGACTTTGATTCTTTTGAAGGACATTTAACCCATAGGTATTAGTGGGACACAGAGAAGCTGAAGTCTGCACCCCTTGAAAATGCCAGTTGATGTCGCTTCCTGGGTGTTCGGCTGACCTGCTTTGCAGAAGAAATCCAACCTCGAGTGTGACTTTTCACTCAGTTGAACTTGAGGCTCTGCATGCTCCCTGGTTCTGCATCCCATCGGGCTGGTGCCAAGAGGATTAACTTGGCTCCACCTCTCCGGCAAAGTGATTCATTGTCCAGTTTAGGAAATGTAATGTCAGGCTGAGAGAGGCTGATGAGCAAACTGGGTGGGGCTACACACAGCCCCCCCCCCCCCGCCACCACCCCCAGGGAAATTCATTACTCGGGTGTCTTAGAATAAAGTTTGGTTCAAAGTGGTCAAGAACAAGGAGTGCCATTGTGGGCTGGGAGCCACTGCGGGCTTCAGCTGTTTGCTCAGCATTTAATATGTTTATCTTTCTGCTAAATACGTTGCTGTTGAGTCATCTCTATTATACCACCACCCTGTGTGAGGCCCAGCTCTGCAAACCCAGCACACAGCGGCCGGCCTTCTATCCTCAGCGACCTTACGTTCTACAAAGTCAAAACAAAGGCTTTCTCTTACTTCTCACTTTAGTGAGCAAAGTACCCAGGTTCTGAAGGAGGTGAATCATGTGTTCTTTCATCAGGCCAGGAACCATGAAGCAATAAAAGTCAAGGAAGAACTTAAAGTGCTCATTATGTTTTTAATATCATTTAGTGTTGTGGCTGCAAATGGAAATGGAAAGTCAATTTACCCAAAAGTACCATCAGCCTCCACATCATCAATATTTCATGGTGTCACTAATGTCAAAGCAATTATATTAATCAAACAAATACTTGGATTAAACTTCTAAGCTTTGGGCAGGGGGAGAAAAAAAAAACCAAGGACCATATAACTTTGAAAAATAGAAGAACTCATGAAATGCTCTCCGTTTGGCCTTCCACAGAAATTGTTCGAGCCATGACACACGTGATAAACCAAGGCATGGCGATGTACTGGGGAACCTCCAGGTGGAGTGCTATGGAGATCATGGTAATTTCATTTCTATTTTTAAATGGCCATTGAGCATCTTATTACAGGTATTATTGCACTTTGTTTTATTGTTCTTCACACATACTGCATTTTTTACAAATTGAAGGTTTGTGGCAAGGCTGCATGGAGCAAGTCTCTTGGTGCCAGTTTTCCAATAGCATTTGCTCACTTTCTGTCTCTGTGTCACATTTTGGTAATTCTCACAAAATTTCAAACTTTTTCATTATTTTTATACTAGAGGCCCGGTGCACAAAATTCATGCATGGGTAGGGTCCCTAGATCAGGGCCGATCTGTGGAGCAACCAGCAGGGTGATGGGGTGGGGGGGGGGGGTCCTCCACTGGCACCTGCCTTGGCTGGCCTGGGGCCTGCAGGCTAGGGACAACTCCTGCGTTGAGCATCTGCTCCCTGGTGGTCAGTGTGCATCATTGCAACCGGTCATTCCACTGGTCGTTCCACCGGTTGGTCAATTTGCATATTCGGCTTTTATTATATAGGATTTGTTATGGTGATCTATGATCAGCGATCTTTGATGTTACCCTCCACTGGCAAAAAAGTTACCTCTTGCAAGCTGAAGGCTCAGATGATGGTCAGCATTTTTTGCAATAAAGTATTTTTTAATTAAGATATGTACATTGATTTTTTATATTTTAGACATAAGGCTATTGCACACTTAGTAGACTACAGAAGTGATTGTCAACCAGTATGCCACAAGAATGTTTAAAATATATAATACCTGACTATTTAGTCAGGGGCACTGACCTCTTTTCCCTTAGATTGTAAAAAAAGAAAAAAAATGACAATAGCCCACATAATAATAGCTATCTTGTGTGAATGAATCAAAATTATACCTATTTTTTGGTCAGAGTGACAAAAAATATATTTTTTGATGTGCAGCAAAATTTTAGTAATTAGTTTATATGTGCCATGAGATGAAAAAGGTTAAAACTTGCAGGACTACATTATAGTATGACCATAACTTTTTTATGCACTGGGAAGCCAAAAAATTCGTGTGGCCCACCTTATTGCCATATTCACTTTATTGCAGTGGTCTGGAACTAAGCCTGCAATATCTCTTAGGTATGCATGTACTGTTTCTCAGATACCATGTGTAAACTGCAAGACCTCTTGCAATCTTCCCTCACAATTGCTTTGGCACTAGTATTCTCTGGTCAATTCCCTCATTACAGAGAGGGATGTGGGGGCTGGATCTCATCAGCTCAGAACACAACAGGGAGGGTGCAAGTCTCTAACAGGAAACGCGTTTTAGCATGTCTTTGGCAGCAAGAGAGTAAATTGAATTTCTTAGCTAATGAGGTATGTGAACACAATATTCTAGTTTTCTTTTAAAAACTCTATTAAATGACCGTACTGTTTGTCACATGCTAATTAAAGATCACCTGTAGATACTGTCTGTTCCATTTCTTTAGACTCTAAATAGTCAAACTACATTTTCTTATCGTCCATAATTCACACTGGGACTAATTTGCCCTGGGCTTTTCTCAGCCCAAACCCTCCCGAAGAATAATAAGGATTTCTTGCGTTTGGTATTGCTCTTAGTGAAACTGATGGTCATAACTTTGCCTATTGTATGGCATCCTCCATGCTTCTTGGTTTGTATTGATTTTACTAAAATGAAAATTTCTCATGCATAGAATCACAGGGCAGTCTTATTTCTCATCAGCATAAATCCAGTTGCAATCTTATTTCTCCCTAGGAAGCCTACTCTGTAGCAAGACAGTTCAATATGATCCCCCCCGTCTGTGAACAAGCTGAGTACCATCTTTTCCAGAGAGAGAAAGTGGAGGTTCAGCTACCGGAGCTCTACCATAAAATAGGTAATCTCCACAATCAAAGTTACTGATGACTTTTAACAATAGTAGGCCCCATGATCTGGGGGGTTGAGTTATTAAAATGCTTCTTAAATGTCCTTCATTAGCATCATAAGGGCTATGCATTCCAGAGACTGTAGAAGAATCAAGTGTGTCTTTGTGTAGTTTGCAGCGTAGCCACAGCAGAGGTGCAAACTGTGACTGGCATATAAACTATACTCAGTAGGTGTTCAAAAAATGCATAGAGAACGCAGGGAAGAAACCCATGAATAAACTCATTTTTCTTGGGGTGCTTGCTGTGGCCAGAGCATGCATCCTTGGGCAGATTATGACTGCCTTTCCAAAAGATTATGGACATATACATCTCTATCTCCCACTCTGTGCCTGGAACTGAGTCACACATGGAATTCCAGGACAGCTCACAAGCCAGGCACACTACATGTTTGTGTAGGTGGATATAATGATGTCAGCGAGAGGGGGGAAATATATACACACCATATACACAAAAATTGTAGACATCAGAAAAACATGAATAAGCCACATTTTCAGGGTTATTTACTTAAATAAACAGTTTCCAGAGATGACTTTATTCCTAAGAAACAGAGGTTCACATGAGCAGGAAAATGCTGGGTAGGGGAAGAAGGATTAAAAAAAAAAAAAAGTCAACAATAACAATTGTTATTATTGCTGTCACTCATTGTGTGTTTACCATGCACTAGGAATTGTGCGTCTGGTACGTACCAGGCACTATCTAGACACTGAGTGGACAAGCAAAGCACTGAATTTCCGCGCATGTAAAGCGTTTGTGTCTGAGTAAACAGAAGTGTGACGTTTAGACATGAATAAACCACAGTTTCAGGCTTGTTTATATGGTCCGCTCCCTATGACCGGGCATGTTTAATTGGCCTATAAAAAATGAAGTGCCATTTGTCAATGCCTACATTTTAATAGAAAGATGTATGTTGGTGTGAACGCTTTAAACGTGTCCGGCTTTTCCCCACTACTAACCAATCCCGCGTAAACACCCCCACACTTTGGATCCCAGTTCCCTACAAGCAGCTTTTCAAGTTGTTTTTCTTCTGCAGGAGTTGGAGCAATGACCTGGTCTCCACTGGCCTGTGGGATCATCTCGGGGAAATACGGGAACGGGGTACCTGAAAGCTCCAGGGCTTCTCTGAAGGTATTTCCCGCCACCGCTGGAAGAGCTGGGGATGGGGAAGAGGGGTGTAGAGAGGGAGGGAAAATGTGGATGCGCACCCATCTGCAGCGGCCTGTGTCTTCCGGGTCCTGCAGAGTGTGGCCTTGGCGGGGAGGTGTCCTCCGGCAGGCTCCCCGGAGCCCGGAGCCCAGAGCCTGCCAGAGGTCTCTGCCCTTGGCCAAGCATCAGTCAGCCCTTCAAAATCGGCCAGCACAGAAAATTCTCCTCTTCTGGGGGTTAGGGGAAATGCCCAATGACCTGGTTGGACTCCTCCTGGAGCTCAAATCCCTCCCGTTATCTATTCTTGTTAAAAAGGCATTTCATTCCTCTTTTGAAACTGATGAAAGAAAATCCCTTTTCTGTATAAGATCTAATTTTAATTTTCTTGACAGAACAAAATTTCAGCCAGTTACCGGTTGTAACTGGGTATGGATGGAGGTTGGTTGGCATTTTTTTACCATGTGGGGTGGAGGGTCAGGAGGGAGGATTCCGAAAGCAGAAGCATTGCCAAGCCTTTGTCAGTGGGGCTCAAGGCTGATGTTCAGAGGTCAACTCTGGTTGCTAACTCTTTTAGCTTAAATTATTTTCTGAAGCGTAAAGATATTCAAGATCATTGACATAAAATTATCTCCATTCAGAACATCTCAATGATTTATTGGAGACTCCAAACATCTCTCCTTATTAATAATAACAACATGCCTGTTTATTTTTTTAAAAAAAAAAAAAAGAAAGAAAAAAAAAAAACCAGAATGTGTAATAACATTAGAATCACAAATTACTCTATAGTATCAGGGGAAAGAGAATATAGGCATTTCAAAATTTAGACAAGCCAAAGCCTCTTGCTTCGTTAGCACAAAGTTAGTGGGAGGTCAGCTTCAGTTAGACCCAAACCACCACCCCTTTAATCAGTGTGGCTGGGACCACCCTGTGCTGCCCTAATCAGCGCCTTCTCAAGGTCTGTCTCTTTCCTTTCTGCCAGTAACAGTTGACCTATTAGCTTGTTTGTTTTCTAAAATAATACTATATAAGCATGGGGACATTGTCCTATTTCTAGTTTTGCATTATCACAAATATAAATATCCTAGAATATAAAATATGGTCATGCTTCTGTAAATTAAAGATTGTTCTGAGCCAAGTGTGAATAAGTCAGCAAAGAAGAACTAAAAGCATTTTAGTGAAAAGGCAAGAAGCGAGTGAAAAAGGAAGGGAAGCATTGAAAATTGCAGTTTTATTGAGCATCTACTATGTGCCAAACACTGGGCTAGGAGTTTTTTATTCGTCTTCTTTTATCCTCACAAAGATAAATGGATACAGATGACTTTTAGTCAGTTATAGCTAAGCATGTTGCCTTGCATTCTTTCAGAGGCTTTCTGCAAAGCTCAAAATACTCCCACATGAATGTCAGGTATTTGTTCTCAGACTATCCTTATGAGACCTTTTCCAGATGTAGAAACTGAGCACAAAGAGGTTAGCTACCAATCCAAGAGCAAAAACTCCTAATAGAGCAAGTTTTTATGAGAATCCAGGTCTCCTGACCCCTCGCTTTATCTCCCCCAAAGCCAGTTTTTAAAGAAGGAAGAAGGAGCTACCCTGTATTTGAATTGTATGATTGGTTAGTCTCCATCATTGTTTGGGGAAAGCTTACAGAGAGCTGAAAAAACTTTCACAAATACACTAACAAAAAAAGAAAAGAAAAAAGGAGGGGCGGGGGAGATACAATGTATTTGAAGGTGGCTAAACCCAAAAGCAACTCAGAAAAGATTACTATTTTTGACCTTTTATAAAAACAACTCAACATCTACTTTGAAACATCCTTAACAAGAAACATTAAGGGTTCTCAACAGGTGAAAGGCAGCCAATCATAAAGCAGACGTTTTTAGTTCTGAGGACTGTTGACGCCTCCTTAAACATCAGTCTGGGTGTTTTCCGGACTGATACATGCGCACTTAGGAAAGCCACTTGAGAAGAGTGACTAAAGAAAGAAAAGGAAAAGGAAAAAGAAAGCTTCAGGACAATCTTAGGAGTGAATAAGAACACTAATAGTAAAAAAAAAAAATTATAGTTAGAGAGCTAGGCAAATTGATAAATGAGTTGGCAACTTTCACATACACCCCACCACCACCACCACCCCCAAATAGAATAACAGTGTTTCACACTGGCTGTTGTAAGCTATGCCAATAAAATAAAAATGCTAATATTCTGTATCTGTTGTAAACATTGAACTGTGTTTGAGGGATAAATTAACCCGGTATGAAAAATACCCATCTTTTAGAAAGGAATGCTACCCAAGGGGTTTCTGGAGGCTGCAGTAATCCTAGTGGAATCTATCCTCACTCCCAGAACCTGCCCTTCCTTCTTGACTAACAGGGCCTCCACCCAGCCATCTGGTCACCTTAGTCAGAAACCAAGGCTTTTTCTCAAGCTGCCTCCTCTCCTCCCTCACTCTTGTCCAAAGGGGCAGCCACTCCTCCAGTCCACACCTTGACCTTCTTTGGTCCATCCCTGCACTGCCCTTGTTCAGACTGTTTCATACCTGGTTTGCTGTAGTAACCTGTCTGGATTCTCTGATTTTCCACCTCTTCTCAACTACCCACCACTGTGACCAGTTATCTTTCTAAAAAATTAATCTGACCATATGGTAACCCTGCTTAAAATCCTTTAAAGATTTTCCAGTCATTGCTTATGGGACAAAACCCAAACCCGACAGAAAAGCATTGAAGGAAACCCTCTCGGGATCTAAGTTGGGCTCATTTTTCTGTTCTTGCCCCTCCCCAAGCCCCATTAGTTCATTTTCCACCCAAATGTCCTGGACTCTTGCCTCCCAGAAATGCCCTTCCTTTTATCCTGCTGTGGAAGCTCTCCTCATCTCGAAGGACAAAGCTTGGTTGTCTGTCTTCACCTCTGCGAAGCCTGTCCTCACTTTATAAAACTGAGTTATATGCATCTTCCTCCTTGTTTATTATCCCCTAAACACTTCTTACAGAGTCTTAGAATTCTCTGGTTGCAAGCAAGAGGACAACATTCAAGCTAATTTAATCAAAGAAGGGCAACACATAGACACTCCGTGGGAAGGATGAGGGGAGACGGCCTCAGGGGTGACTCCATCCCTAGACTTGCACAGTGTCAGGACTCTGTCTTCTCTGTTTCTCTCTGCATAGGAGTGTCATTTTCTTCTACTGCAAATGGGTCTTCTCCGTGTGGCCAGGGGCAGGAAAGCTAGTGATTGCAGGTTTACATCCTTAAAGCCATGTAACCCGAGAGAAAAGATATCTTTTCTTTTATCAGCTTCAGTCAAGAAAGGGCTTGTGAAGCTTGGGCCATGTGCCAACCTGTTAGACCAATGACAGTGGCAAAAAAGAGAAGGTGCTGTGATGAGCTCACATCCTCCTCCCTTGTTGGGTATTTTCAAGGCAGTACAAACATAGCCCTGAGGAAATCATTGAGGGGGACACCCCAACAACAAAGCCCATCTCAACTTACCAATAATTTGTAAATACTTCTGGGAAAGACACTGAAATTTACTTGTGTAACTCATCACAGAGCCTGGCACACAGTAGGTACTCAATAAATGCTGGTTGAGTGAATGCAATAGAAGGTCAACAAAGTCAGAGCAAGAGACCAGGTGTGTAGCTCTTAAATAGAAAGTTTAAATAGAAGTGAAAAGTGCAACAAAACTTACAGGCAGCTCTTCCCTGTTGTTACCAAAATGCCTTATAGAAAAATCATGAAAACATGTCCCCCTCTGTCAAAGGGAAATAGAAAACATGCAAAGCTAGGTGACTGGGGCGGTGGAGGGGGTGGGGTACTGGGGGCGGGGGAGGGAGGAGACAGTCCAAGTACTATAAGTGTTCACATTAAGAAACAAAGGGTATTGCACATTATAGTCTAATTTCAGAAAGAAATTTTTTAGCTCCAGCATTTTACCTAGAGATTTCAACCTCCCTAGTAAAGACTTGGCTGTTCTAAAGACAAAGACTTTAATGCTTAAATAGAAATAGTCGATGATCTTGGATGGTAAATTACTGTAGACAAGGTCCAGAGATGAAATGTGACTGGTTCTGTCCATGGCTCTATGGTTGCTGCCTGCATTCCAACCCGGGATTATTAACAGGGAATTGGGGGCTCCATGGGGCCAGTCTCAGAGATTGTTCCCACTCCAGTACCACCTATAATAATAAAAGCATAATATGCTAATTAGACCGGACAGCCGAACGACCTTCCGGACAAAGCCAGGGCTGCGAGGGCCAACTCCCTTGCACGAATTTCATGCATCGGGCCTCTAGTTACCTATAAAGTGGAGACACACAGATAACAGTGATAGCATTGGGAGGCAGCCAAGTAATGGGCTTTAGGAAAACTTTAGAGAATACTGTGACTTATCTGTGGAGAAAAGCTCTTTCAGTGGCTCCTTTGACAACTATCTCCTGAGTGTCTGTTCCTGGCCCACCTCTGTGCCGAGTGCTGAGGATGCAGGGATGAATGGGACAGCTGCAACCCTCCGAGTAACTTGGGGACTTGTTCAAGAGACAGACATGTGAAGGGGCAAAGTATGAAAGAAGCGGAATCTACAAGCACTGTGGACTCAGGCAGAATGGCCAGCGAAGTCCTACTGTGTGAAGGTTGGATGCTCAATCTGAAGAGCTAGAGAGATCTAGTTGCACCTGTAGGGCCCTGGGTCTCAGATTCCTCTCTCTCTGCCATATTGGCTGAGCCCCTCCTCTGTGCCAACCAGTGTCAGGACTGGAGACATTGGGATGAACAGGAAGCCATCCCCGCCTTTCTCTTAATTAGAACAAAATATCAACAGGTAATCAAATCACTGCAGCAATGGGGAAAACGACACGATAGAATTGGAAGAGGAAACTTCATCTTTGGATTCGTAGATTATTACCCACAGTCAACAAGCTAGTTTATTATTGTGCACAACCACACCCACCACCAATCTTCTTACCCAAAACACTGGTTTATTTCCATAATTAACTAATAATTTAATTAAGTGTCATCTCCTCCCTATGCTAAGATTTTCCCACTTATAAAGCAGGTAAAGCTCTTTATTTCCAAAACACTTTCGTTTCCTTTGGTATGAGAAAAGCAATATAAATCCTATGCATCTGCTTTTTTTTCTTTATACAACTTTATTTTTAAGAATCTTGTTCATGTACAGGCATTGGCACATTTTAAAAACAAACTACATAAACAGCCCTTTCCTATAATCCAGGAGAGTGGAATGTCAGGAGTCAGCAGCCGTGGTGAACTTAAAGTGCTAGAACGAAGGCACTTCACAAACTCTTCACGGGAAGTGACCATTGCCTCGGATACCTTCACTTCATACGTGGCAGTGACTGTCTGTCAGGATCGGAGCACAGAAATACGACAGCTTCGTGGCAGTAAAAGCAGAACACCAATAAGTGATGAGCCCTTGGCCATTTTGGGTTTTGATGACCTTTAACCTACTTTTAACTTTCCTCTCCTACGAGTAAAAACAGGAGTTAGAATTGGAAGGGAAGTTGAAGTCCCAGAATGCAGTCACTCCAGGGGCTTGGGAGCCCTTTGTTTTCACGGTGGACGTTCTGTGAAGTCAGAGAGCAAGTATTAGGGAAGAAGACCTAAACAGTTCGTTGTAAATGCTCATGTTATTAGCAAGGCTACACGGTTTCAGAGGTAGATAACTGTCCCAGGTTTCCAAGGAGTCTAATAATTTAAGTATCTGGGCATCAAACAGGTCACACACTCCTGTGTCATCTCAATTAAAGTTGTAGTCTCCGCGGGGGTGGGGGAGAGCCGCAGGGGAGGAAACACATCAGAAGACATCAGCTCATCAATGGTGTCTCCAGTAATAGATCCTGAAGCCAGAGTTTGTGGCCTGGAGGTGCTGGAGGTCAGGCGGGCTTCCTCTCCGAGGCAGGCTGCCCTGGGGGGCTCGGCGGGGCGGGGCTGGGCTTGTGCGGAGTCCGGGGAGGAGTCACCGGCTGAGACGGGGTGGGTGCGTGAGGTCCTCTGATGGGGGAACAGGAAAGACCACAGGCTGAGACGAACTGGACTCCTGATTTATAAGCAGCACGTGGACGGGGCCCGAGTGACTCTCCAGGTCGATCTGGTCCTTCTTCTGTCCATCCTGACCCATCCCTGGAAGAGGCCCTCCAGCCGCGTGCCGGCAGGTGCCTGGATGGCCAACGGTGTGTCACCGGGGAAGCAACTGCAGATGTCCTCGTGGGTCGTAGGAAAACCTGCCGCGGAGGGCGTCCTCCATCACATTTCTGATGCTCTGCGGCAGCCACGACTTCTGCTGATCCAGGTCCCTTTCCTCAGGCCCAGGTCCTCGACCTCGGCGCTGAGGTCTCGCCGTCTCTCCAGGACTTCCTTAGTGTTGCAGCCAGCGCCCACACCTCTCTGTTTTTGGACTTTTTCTCAATCAGGCCGATCTCTTCCAAGACGTTGGTGATGTCATAAATCCTTCTTTTCTGCCTCACAGCCACAGTATCTGCAGCCGCCTCCTGCAGCCGCCACAGGAACTTGGCGGTGAGCAGCCCCAGGCTCTTCTCCAGCCGGCTGCTCCCGCTTGCCCGGCCCCCGAACTGCAACGGCGGCGCGGGGGCAGCAGGGGGCGCCCACTGACCCTGGGCCTGGCCCTGTGGCGTCCTAGCCCTGCCCACACCGAGTTTAAGTGCCTATGCATCTACTTTAAAAACAACAACAACAAAAAAAAAACAACTTAACCTGCTTGTTTTCCAATGATTAAGACAACAATGAGGGTATAGTTGAGGGTGGAGAGAGAGTGACTCGATAAATGAATATTTGATATTTGTTCCTTTTAGAAGTCTGCTTCTCACCATGGTGGGTATGCCCATATACTCATGCAGTATATAACTTGTAACCCAAACCTAGGAGTCAGGATGCATTGCACATGTGATCTGAAAAATGGATTTCCATAGATTGATGAATAAACCAACCATTCTTTATGTGTGTGGGATATATTGAAACCTCAATTGTTCAAAAACAACATTTGGCCATTGGTCTTCAACCTTTCTAAATTTGAATACTATTTGGAGATATCGACTGGTCCCCTGAGAGATGTTGTGAAAGTGAGGAATGGTGATGTTTTTCCAGTGAGGACAGCAAAAGTGAGCTGTGCTCTCTGATGCACCCAGCCCGCTGCTCAGGGAAGGCTACTGGGCGCCAGGCGCCTGTTCGTTGTCGTAACTGTCCCGGTCACCACCGCTAGCACCATCTGTGGTCGCCAGGCCACCGTTCCTCCTGGAAGAAGCTGAGGTTTCCCAGAGCTGAGGCTGCGAACACTCTTGGCCATCTCCCTGAGCAAAGTCTCCAGCAAGGAGCCAGACCATACGCCTTAGAGATGTAGGAGGCGAACAGAACAGGAGATGGCTTGCCCTTTCTCCCTTTCACATCTGCCAAATCACTCCCCAAACTCATCATAAGTTTCATTCTAGACACATAATGTGGTTACTCTTTTCTTTGGGAATACTGTCTCAGAACGATGAAACAAAGTACTTAAAAACAAACGCCAGCTGCCCATGGAAATCACGTGGGTGGAGTGTCGGTGACAATTGCAGAGCTTCTGCTGCTGCCTTTGGGAAGGCAAAGGTCTGCGGTGGCAACTGTGTCACAGATAACACGCGATGGAGGAAGTCCACATGGCCACACAGTGCGATGGTTTTTATTATTTTCACTAAAACAGACTAACAGACTCTTACAAATATTCTTTCCCTTTGGGTGTTGCAATGCAGCAGCTTTGTACGGGAGAGTCTATTGTTCCCTATGTCACAGTAAGCAGAACCCCCTGGGAAGTAGGCCATTGAGACGTTCTGAAGGATTTTTCTCCTTATATAGGAAATTAGGCTCAGAGTCAGTCACATCTCATAGGTTTTACAGGACAGTTTCCCATTATGAGTTTCCTTACCTATTTAAGTTTCATTACAGAAAAGGTACTACACATCTGGGAAGTATTTATCCACTTGACAATTTTCTAAATGTGCTTGGTTCCTGTCAGTTATACCATGTCTACTTCTGGGAAGGAGCGAGCAAACGAACAATAGAGCCCCATTATATGAACACAAAACTGGGAATAAATAGAAAGCAAGAGGAAGAAAGATAGTTATAACAAGAATGTAAGCTAATGGCTTTCTTTGAGCAGAAGGCTTGGCGCCCAGCTTTCTTGACAAAAAGGAAGCATAATAGACATTGGTGAAATGTAAATGCTTTTTTTTTTTCTTTTGCTGCATTCTAAAACGGGGCTACCTCAATAAGAAACATCATTTCTCCCACTTAGCAAATTGAATGTCATTGATTAGGTCAGGATTTTAACAACTTTTGTGCATGTTGATGGATTTCAGTGGTGACTTAGTCAAAAGTAATCTGTTTTGGCCAGCCGGTATGGCTCAGTGGTTGATCGTTGACCCATGAACCAAGAGGTCCCCAGTTGATTCCCTCTTGGACACATGCCCAGGTTTCTGCTCAATTCCCAGTAAAGGGTGCACAGGAGGCAGCCAATGGATGTTTCTCTCTCATTGATGCTTCTATCTCTCTATCCACTCCCTTCCTCTCTCTCTAAAATCCATGAAAACATATTTTTTAAAGTAATCTGTTTTAAACCAATAAGTAAGGAGTGAGACCATGAAGAACATTTCTTTGCAAGAACTCATAAGCATCCTGTCACCACAAAACATAAAGTTCAGAGTGAAGGAAATGCAGGAATTCACGATGAGGTTCTTATATTTCATTGAATTGGCCATCTTTGACATCAAACCCTGGCCGGACATTACCTTTTAAATGTTCTTTTTATTCCTAGTGCTACCAGTGGTTGAAGGAAAGAATTGTGAGTGAAGAAGGGAGAAAACAGCAGAACAAGTTAAAAGACCTCTCTCCGATTGCTGAGCGGCTGGGCTGCACTCTCCCTCAGCTCGCTGTCGGTAAGACAATTACTGGGAGGGGGCCCTGCCAGAGCCCAGAAAATACCGTTTTCTCTGCTTGATCCACATCCCTATCGTGATAAAATATCTATTGTAGGGCAGACTGATGCCAGGAGCATAAATTCCTGGTTAGCACTATCTAAAATGAGGCTTTCAGAGTACCCCAGAATTTTCGACGTGCTAAAAAACTGTTCTTCCTTCCTTTTCCTCTCCCTTATAATCCAATTCAAATGAGAACAGGTGAGTGAAAACGTATACATCCTCAGTGTCGGGGGTGAGAGCCCTCTGAGCTGTGCAGGGACACCCATTTCTTCTGGCTCCCTTTGCAATCCCTGTCAAAGCTTAGGCGAGACGGGTGAGAGGCTGGGAAAGGGCTGCCACAGAGCCCACGGCCACTGCCACAGGGAAGGCCCAGCCTAGGGCAGCAGCTTCGCCCTGAACCTTCCGAGGGTCCAGGAAAACCGCTCTTCTAAACTGTGAGGAGGGTGAAAGGTCATGGTCACTGGTAACAACTGAAAACCACACCCACCAGCCACGTCCAATAGAATTTCAATGTGAACCACACACTTAAATTTCCAGTGTTCTAGTGGCCGTGTTCAAAAAGGAAAATGGAAACAAGCAAATTAATTATACTAAAATATTTTCTTTAACCCAATATAGACAACATATGACCATGTCGACATGTAATAAATATAAAAGTTATTGAGATCTTTTACACATTTTTCATACTAAGTCTTCAAAAATACAAAATGTATTTTACACCGACAGGACATCTCAACTCAGGCTAACCACATCTCATGTGTTCCACAGGCCCATGTGGCTGGGTGTTGGACAGAAAAGCATTTAGACTTCCAGTTCTCTCGCTGGGGATATTTGCCAGGCTCTGTGATAAGCACTTGCTGCCACTATCTTGTCCCCTGAATGGTCGAAACAATCCTATGAAGTACATGCTATTACAAGCCCTATCTCGCAGGCGTTAATGGAGTATTTGCTATTATCGCCACTTTACAAATGAAGAAACTGAAGATAAAAGAATTCATGTGGTAGCTGTTATTACCAAATTCAAAGAGTTCACCACTTGTGGTGCCCTCTTCGAGAATGAGACATGGTTGTCACAAGATAGTTGTATTTACTTGCAGCCAGTAAAGGAGACGGGATTCATATCCAAAGCTCTGTCTCCCGGAAGGGAGGCTTAGCCATTGCTTATACGAGGTACACACCATTTGGTCAATCATGTTAATTGCAGTTGGCTACACTTACTGGGTTGGGGTCCTGTCAAACTCATCCCGTTTACAACTGGTCTGCAAGAATAATGTTTAGTAAGAATGGCCCAGACCTTTGAGACCCATGTCCTATCTAACACTGTGGGAAAAGAATAAAATAGGTGTATAATCTAGAAAAAACTCCAAAGGAATAAGAAATAGCAGGAATTGGGACAAATCAGATACAATGACCTAATGAGATAAAAAGCTCGAGATAAATTCTAGGCAAATAAAATAATGTGATAGAATGTTTGTTAGAAGGTTGACCCTTTGAGGTTGGAAGGCAGGAAAATGGCAGTTGCAGTTAACAGTCATAGAAAGATGAAAATGGAAGGTGGTCTGGCAGGGGGGACGGGGAAAGGAATACCATTTACCTAAGTGTATGTAAGACTGTTGCTTTAATCTTTTCAAATGACAACAACAAAACAAAGAATATATTTCATGGGATTAGTTAGCACCCCGGCAGCTTTAGTGGACATAGTAAAAAGTATTAGCTAATTGATCATCAGCAAGTTATTTGACCTATCAATTTTCTCATCTGTAAAATGGGTATAATTTACATATCTTGCAAACTACTTGAGTAAAGGATAATTACATATGCAAAGCAAAAAGCAAGTGCTCTTTGTAGAAGTAGTAATGATGATGATAATTTTTTTTGCAAAGAATTAGACACCCTGGACCTGAAACTCTGTCTACCCTCAGCCGTGGCATATGGGCAGAGGAACAGGCACAAAGAGAAACACCCATTCTTGAAACAGTCATAAATATGGTTTTTAGGTAGTAATAACGTGGAAATGAGTATTAAATTTAGCTCTGAAAGAGATGGAACATTGTCTTTTTAAAGAGATCTTTATAAGACTTAGACTTCCACTGGATGTTAGATGCACACCAAAAATCCTCTAGAGCGTCTCTGTGCCCCCCGTTATCTATCTTGCCTGTCCTTTTTTTTTTTTTCCATTCTTTATAAGCAGTAGTTTTGTTTTTAACCACAGAACTCTCAAACCAAGAGAGGAATTATTTCCACGCATATTACCTTTCATCTGCTAGAAGGGTGTAGGGAGGGGAAATCCTCGAGCAGGAAACAAACTACTTGAACCCAACCGTGGGCACTGCCATGTCATTTGCCTGCACAAGAGCTGCACTCACACCTTGCCCGTAAAGAGGCAGGAGGGCTGCCTGGTTGGGGACATTTGCTTAGATGCTAATCATTAGCATCATCTGCATGTGTTACCTCTGCGGCTAGGCAGTTCTCAGAGTGGAGAGTTGGCTTTTGCTGACACCAAGTAGTTTATGTGCAATGATTTTTCCCTGGGCCCTGCTTTGCCCTCAGACCTTCCAAAAAGAGTTATAAGTGCAAAGCAGGAAATAATACTGCCAAAAAAAAAAAAAAAAAAAGCCCTGAATCACTTGGCTTGTTGTCTTTATAGATCATTATTTTGTCCATGTGGTAAGATTTAGCGATTGCCTTAAAAGGCCTGAGCATGGCAACAGCTTAAGAGTATTAGTTGGCAGCAGGCCTTGAGCAAAAGGGGCAGAAGAGGTGCTTGGACCTTCTTCCATCCCTCAATCATTCATGTCTGTTTATTCAACAAATTTACGAAGCACCTACTATGTGAAGGTCCTGGGCTGAATGCTGAGCATCCAACTGTAAATAAAACACATTTCACAGCCTGATGGGCAAGTCAGAAAACAAACAGCTCTCTGTAATACAGTGTTGTAAAATAACTGGGAAGGGCCCAGGGGTTTAAGTAACGTAGAGGCTCCCAACGCAACCTTGGACTCAGGGAAGGACTCTGAGAGAAGGTAGTTCCCGTGGGGAATCTCAAGTGATGAGTAGACATTCGTGAGGCAAAGGAAGGGAGGAGTCAAAGGGACATTCCAGGCCAAGGAGCAGTTGGAAACAGGGGATGGAGAGGATTTACAAACAGCTCTGTGCTCCTGAAGCACAAAGTTCAAGGCAGGGAATGAGGGGACATGAGCTGGAGAGCTGGACTAGAGAGCAAGGTTTGCCAGGTGAGAAATGAGAACTCATCGTGTAGGACAAGGATCACGTCAGGCACATGTAGAAGAATGCTTAGCCAGGCACGTGACATGGTCAGATCTGTATCTGGAGAAACTCTGCCAGATGAGTGGGGGAAGGGATGGGAATGGGGGTTGGGGGAGGTGGGAGACGGGGGGCAATCCAAGCAAGAGGAGCAGAAGGCCCTTGCAGAAGACGGTGAGGGCCTGAGGACAGCAGACAGCTGGACCAGAGCAGCGATTCTCCGCTGTGGTCCCTGCAGCCACACAATGCGAAGCTGTTCGGTGAGAAAAAGAAAGGATACACTGAGTGCATGCTGTGACACGGATGACCCTCCCAAACCTGCTCAGCGAGAGAATCAGACACAAGCCCATGTTGTGTAATTCTGTTTAGATGAAATGTCCAGAAACAATAACTCTGTAGGGTGCAAAGTGGATTAGTGGTTTCCTAGGGTTGGCCGTAGGAATGGGATTAATTTCGTAAATGGGCATGCAGGAGCTTATTGGGGTCATGGAAATGTTCTAAAATTGGACCTAAAATGGTGATGGTTGCACACTTGATACATTTACTAAAAATTGTTTAATTTTGCACAAAATAGGTAAAATTTTTGGAGTGTAGAAATCACCCCAATAAAGTTTAAAATAAAGATAGCCCTAACCGGTTTGGCTCAGTGGATAGAGCGTCGGCCTGCAGACTGAAGATAACATGGTCTCTGGATCAATAGCATCAGCATTGCGTGGGAGCTTGTCAGAAATGCAGATTCTCGAAAAAAGAAAGAAAAAGAAAAATGCAGATTCTCACGCCACCCAGACCTTCTGAGTTAGAAATACCCAATAATTGATGTTTCAAAAGCCCTAAGTGGTTCTGCTACATGCTGAACTTTGAGAACCATTGGATTAGAGAAATATTTAAATAGCAACTAGACTTGGCAATTAAAGGGGAATGTGAGATCAGAAAAGGATAGTCCCTAAGTATAAGTCCCAGGTTCCTAGATTGGGAGCTAAGTTGCTGATGATGCCACCCAATGAAATTAGGAACACAGGAGAGACGGGCTTGGCAAGTAGCAAGCAGTTTGCAGTGCCTATGAGACACCTAGCAGGGACATCCAGCAGACACTGCATCTGTGGGCCTATACCAGTGGTCGGCAAACTGCGGCTCGCGAGCCACGTGTGGCTCTTTGGCCCCTTGAGTGTGGCTCTTCCACAAAATACCAACTTCTGCGCGTGGGCCACGAAGTTTCAATCGCACTGTACGTGCACGCCGCACGTGGTATTTTGTGGAAGAGCCACACTCAAGGGGCCAAAGAGCCGCATGTGGCTCACGAGCCACAGTTTGCCGGCCACTGGCCTATACAATCATCTAGTTCCAGGAAGCTACAAACTCAGAAGTCTACTTTAACCACACGGAGACTCCTGGGGACCTTGGCTTCTGACATGGCAAGAAGGAGACCAGAGACAAGGAAGGGGGATCAGGGATTTTAAAATGCCCTTTCAGCACAGCTGGCATGGCTCAGTGTTTGAGTGTTGATCTATGAACCAGGAGGTCATAGTTCAATTCCTGGTCAGGGCACATGCCTGGGTTGTGGGCTCAATCCCCAGTGTGGGGCGTGCAGCAGGCAGCCGATCAATGATTCTCTCTCATCATTGATGTTTCGCTCTCTCTCCCTCTCCCTTCCTCTCTGAAATTGATAAATAAAATATATATTTTAAATATTGTCTTTCAGAAATTTAAGGAGAGAAGAATGGGGCAGTAGCTAGGCAGGTATGAGGGGTTGGAGGAAGTTTATTTTAGAATGGGAGAAATTTGAGCACATTTTGCTGAGAAAAAAGATGATAGTATGAAATAAGCAATTCAGGAGAAGAGAGAGAGAAAGAGACAGAGAGAGAAAAAAGGAAAAGAAAAGAATGGAAGAATGAGAATGAATCAAGTTCAAGAAAGGGCAAAAAGAGCCGGATCCAGGGCAGAGTTTGGCTTCAAAGTTAGTAAGAACAGAACATGGCATCCTCTGAACTGGAGGAATCGGACGTGTACTGTGTCCAGGGCAGAGTGGGGAATTAAGGAATATCCCACCTGATGGGGTTAATTTTTTCCATTAAGCCAGAGGCCAGGTCATCTGCTGAGAGCAACAGACAGGGGTTGAGAAGGTTTAAGGGTCAAGGTAGCCAGAGGCGCAGAGGAAGGAGAGGAGCGAGGGATTTGGGGGTTGGTGAGAAAATGAACATAGGATGAACACCGTGTTAGGAAGAAAGGTTGCAGGGAGGGTTGACAGTAGGTGGAACCAGACACTCAAAGTCTACAAGGACTCCAGTCACAGAGGGAATAGAGAGCCTGAACGGGTGGACAGGCAGGAGGTTGTGGGCCAACGTGGAAACAGGAATCCAGACGTTGGCCAGTGAGCAGGGCCAGGTGTTTTCAGGAACAAGAGTGTGTACCTGGGTGAGTTGCTGGATTGGGCACCCCAGTTGTTAGGGCAAAGCTCATGTACCAAATCCTCTCCATGGCCGGGGTGCTGCTGTCCATCCTCCCCACAAGTGAGTCAGTTTTGGTGCAGCCATGGTGGCTGCAGGGGGTGTGTGCAAGGTCATCAGAAGGGCTTCGATGTCCTGACCCTGTTCTCTCTTCCCAGCCTGGTGCCTGAGGAACGAGGGTGTGAGTTCCGTGCTCCTGGGATCATCCACTCCCGAACAGCTCATTGAGAACCTCGGTGCCATTCAGGCAAGTGCCACAGCCCTTTCCGACAAACTCCGGGGATCTCATGGTGTCGGTGAAGATGTCCCCAGGCAGTGTCCCATCTCTCCCCACCTCTGTCCTTCACGTCACAGCTTCCCAGTTACATGGAAGTCCCTAACAGGCTACTTATTCTTAGATTGGGGGTGTGGGGGGACAAAGGTACAAGAGGTAAGAGAACTGTTATAGACATGAATCCAGGAGTATCCTCTTCTGTTAACAATGTTCTCAGACCTCATTTCTCAGGACGGTTGGTTTCTGTGAGACAAGGCATTCCAAGATCCAAGCCATGTCACACCTGGGTTCCCAGGCCTGGCCATAAAAGCAGCCTAATAACCTGCTTGAAATGTAATAGCCCCAGGACATGTCCTCATTTGTTCTTCCTGCACATTTACTGCCAACCTAGTGTGCCAAGCCCTCACAGCGTCCTGTGTTCCCGCTCCCATCTCAGCCCTTGTGATGATGTAGTGTAATTGCTAGTCCTCCCTACTGGACTGTAACTCCTGAGGTCAGGGATCTGTCTGCGTCTTTCTTGCTTCTCATGGATTTCCGGTTCCTAGCAACACTTAAGAAACACCTGTTGAGCGAATGTTCACCACCTTTCAAAAGAAACACGATCAGAATTCTAGTCTGGACTTCCAGGATCACACCTCCCTGGCAGCAAATTCAGGGGTTCCCATCCCCCCTCCCTCCCAGGTGGATTGCCTGAGACCCGAGGCATTGGATGGAGCCTGAGGGTGTACTCTGGGGAGCCTGCTGGGGCAGTAGGAGGGGGTGGGAGAGGTGTTCCTGGGTGTTCTCTCTGAGGAGAAGGGTGGGGCTTAGTGGCTGGTGGGACCATCCTCCTCCCCCAAAGGCCACATCTCATCCCGGGTGTCCTCCCCTCTCAGCCTTGCTGAGGCCTCAGGAAGGAGCCTGCCCATGACTTGCCATGGCCACCACCTGCCAAACAGGTGTCTTTTCCTCTTGCTCACTGGGGAACAGAACTATCAGTTTCTTCCCCATCCCCCAGTCCCTGAAGCAAGCACGTATCTCCCTGTTAGCTCTCCCAAAAGAAACAGGTGGAGGTGGGACCAACCTGATTAAACTTAAAATGTTTTTTTAAAAAAAATCCCTTTGAAAAGCCCAGAATATGCTGGGGATAAAGGTGTGGGCTTCCTTCCCCACCGGCACCTTTCCTGGGGCTGTGCAGCCTTGTCATCATCCCGCCTCTGCTTCCCAGAACCCTCTGAGCCCCACAACTCCTCCCGGATTCTGGGGGTTCTCCATTGTTGCATGGGGAAGGTTCCCCCCTTGTGAAAGCCGTCCCACCGTCTCTTCTTTACTCCTGTGCTCGGGGCAAAGATAAAGGCTCCACAGCAATGAGGAAATAGAGAACAGTCTGTACACAGAGAACTGGAATTCTGTCCAGTGATTTCAATTCCACTAATATGTATCGAGCACCACGCCGGGCAGAGTCCTGAGCGAAGAACAGGACCCTGTCCTCCGGGGCCCAGGGGCTGGCTGAGCGTGAACGAGGCAATCTATCCCTTATTCATTCAGCACACCTCTGGGAGCCTGCATGGCCAGGCAGGCACTGATACTGTCCAGCTCTTAGGGAGCTTACCTTCTGTGGGAGAGGCACATAACAAAGTATAATTGCTCACTGTGAGGAGGGCCAGTGAGTGAGGATGGTGTTGGAAGAGAGACTACTTGAGAAGTGGGTGGACCTACTTTAATTACTGTCCTTGCCAAGGCCTCTGGGTTCCTGCGTTCTGAAGCCTGGAAGATGAAGACGCAGCATGTGAAAACCCCGGAAGGAGCATTCCAGACAGGGAGGAACATTCCAGACACCGGGAGGAGCCTCCAGACACAGGGAGGAGCAGTGTAAAGGCCCCGAGGGGAAGGAACGTGGCTTTTCCCAGGAACTGCCATGTGGCCAACATGCAGTGAGCAAAAAGGACAGCGGGTGCACTGAAGTGGCGAGTCAGGCAGAGGTCAGATCACAGGACACTGGAGTTTTGTTCTACATGGAATGGATCCTTTGGAGGGTTTTAAGAGGAGGAGGGACATGCTGTTATTTGAATGTTTAAAGACTGCACTGCTGCTGTGTAGGAAGTAACAGGAAGAAAGGGCAGTTGTCCAGGTGACAGGTGATGGGGTAGCTAGGATGGTGGCCATGGAGGTAAAGTGCATGGATGCTGTAGGATTTGGAAACAGAGACAGGACTTGCTGACAGCCTGGCAAGAAGAGAGAGGCCCCGAGGATTCCTGTAATGCTACTACACTGTGAACACTGCCACCTAGGGGAGCAGCATGCCTGGGATGGTAGAGACGTCACGCCTGGGCTGTGGGAGAACTCCAGGTAGCTGAGGGTGCATTTCAGAGGAAAACAGGCAGCCATCTTCCCAAAGCACCTCCTCCCCAGCAAAGCTCTGGCCGGTAGCAAGATGGATCGCCCATGCTCAAAGGGTACGAGGCAGGGAGGCTATCCAAGCAGGGGGCTGCCCCCTCGGGTCCACCGTCCCCCCTGACTACTCCCGCCAGCCCAGCAGCTGAGAATTTGCCCCAGGTGAGCAGTGAGTGGGCCCCTCCACGGGGTGGGAAGTAAGCTGGGTGGCTGGGGGTTCCCAGCAGTGGAATGATTGGGTGCCGGACAGAAAGCTGCAGTGCAAGCAGCTGTCGGGCAAAGAAATTTCTAGTAGGCCCAGCAAGGCAGCTGCTCCAAGGGATAAGATGAGTGTAAATTGTGCATAAACTAGAGGCACATATAAATCAGAGCCTCAACAGATGGGAGACAGGAGAAACCAGACTGGAGAAATCGCAGGTGGCCGCCATCATGTGCACAGGCCCCCATCCCCCCAACTATACTTAGAAAGGGGGGAGTTGCCTCTCCCCGCTCCACCGCACCAGCCTTAGAGCCCTTGAGCCCGTCGCCTAATCTGAGCAGTCCAGGCCCCGCAGCAGCGCCCCCTCACACCCAGGGCTCGTCTTCCCCGAAGCCTCAATCTCCAGCCGCCATGAGCCACTGGGACCCCCAGAAGCAACACTGGTCCTCTGCCTGCCAGTGTCCACCACCCACCTGCCCAGATCCCCCAGGTCCCACTCAGTGAGCCAACCCTGGGAGGAATTCCCTGATACCCCCACCCGGCCCAGCAACAGTAACCAGACCGCCCCTCACCCACCAATTGTCCCAGTCAGTATAACACCAAGGTTGCAAAATTGGTAGGCTGTGGGATGTTCATTTAATTGTAGCTGGAAATGCTTTAAAATAGCTGTCAACATTTTTAAAAACTGGGCAGTGTCACATAAAACTCTGGATGTATGGTTCCTCTTGAACATTTAGAGCTTGCAACACAACATATATATTTTTTCATGTTTTATTCAAGTACTTTTATGGTTTCGGGGTTTTAAATATCTGAAATTTATTTTGGTGTAATGAACGAAGAATTTTTTTTCTCACATGGCTAACCCACTATATTTTTAGCACAAAACTTCCAACAAACGCAGCTTCTAGATTTGGGTCTCATTGTTGCAATCTCACTTTAAAGAACACATTAGCTTATCAGCGGTTCTCAACCTATGGGTCGCGACCCTTTTGGGGGTCGAACGACCCTTTCACAGGGGTCGCCTAAGACCATCGGAAAAACACATATATAATTACATATTGTTTTTGTGATTAATCACTATGCTTTAATTATGTTCAATTTGTAACAATGAAAATACATCCTGCATATCAGATATTTACATTACGATTCATAACAGTAGCAAAATTACAGTTATGAAGTAGCAACGAAAATAATTTTATGGTTGGGGGTCACCACAACATGAGGAACTGTATTAAAGGGTCGAGGCATTAGGAAGATTGAGAACCACTGGTTTAGATCCTCTGAGATGCCAGAACTGGTGGGAAATCAAACTCTTCCTTTAGCTCTGAGAGAAAAACATTAACGAGAACCAGTTTCCCAAGCTGAGTAGCTCTGCTCTTCGGCCAGACCCTACGGGTTCCGAGGAGGCTCTTGAGTGAAGACAAGGTCACCCTGGCCAACAGGCTTGCAGCCGAGGAAGGGCGAGGCTGAAACCTCAGAACTGGTTGTCACAATTATATTTCATCAGTCTCCACACAGGGTCAGGCTATTCCTGTGAAAAAGTCTGCCTTTGTCCCTGGTCTTGTGGTGTAGTGTGTGCCCTTGGCCCACTTCTCACAATGAATGCTGGCCCTGGATGATGTCATCCTTCCCGGGGCTTTAATTAGCATATCCATGGAGATGACTCACAAACCCTCAACTCCAGTCCTGCTACCAGCAAGCAAGCTCCACAGCTGCCCTTCCGCTGCCTACAAATCATTTCCACATGCGTCTCCCACTGGCACCCTGAACTCAATACATCCTACTCCAAACTTCTCCTCCGGTGAACGCCTGTCTCAGTAATCCACATCATATGTTTCTAGTCATGCAGTCCGGAAACCACCACCATCCTCCAAAATGCCCCAGATCCACACCCCTTTTCTCCTCCACTGCCCCTGTCCCAGTTAAGGCTCTTAAGTGTCACTGCCCAGGACAGTGAGTTTCTAACATCTATGTCCCCTTTCAATCTCCTCCAACTCATCCTTCAAACTACCACTAGGTGTCTCTTAGGTTCACTTCCAGCTAAAAAGTCCTGAGAGGTTCCCCAATGTCTACTGAATAAACGCCCCCCCCCAAAAAAAAGATATGCAAGGCCTTCTGCCCTCTTTACCCCAATGTCTCTTTCTCCTGTTCCTCCATCCCCATACCTCCACCACTCACTTTACGCTTGTATCACTCCATTTCTCAGACTTTTCACTTTTTCATGCTATGCCATCCACCCAGGATGCCTGCTAACCCCTGGCCATCCTTCACCAGGGTGCTGACCACCAGTGGTAAAGAATCTCTCCTAGTCTCTAGACCTGTGCTGCCCAGTACCATAGCCTCTAGCCACATGTGGTTCTTTGGCGTATGCAAGGTGACTAGTCCAAATGCAGAGTAAGTATAACATGTACTAGAGATCAGAAAAACATAGTACTTTAAAAATATGCAAATCATCTTAAGAATTTTCTATACTGACTACATACTGAAATGTTTTGGCTATAATGGAGTAAAGTCAGGTATTAATTTCACATCTTTTCACTTTTATTAATGTGGCCACGAGAAAACCTACAATCACATTATGTGGCTCGCATTATATTTCTACTGGGCAGAACTGCTGTGGGAATTATACATTTCTACCAGCCTTCATTTACATCTTATGTCTTCATTTATCCAGCCGACTAATAATTATGAGCACTATGGGCCAAGCACTCTTAGAGGCACTGGAGATGCAGTGAACAAAACAAGGTCCCTGACCTCAAGGAGCTTAGGGTCTGGGGAGGAGTATTTTCCAGTGGTGGTTTTTAAACGTACTCGCCTAGACAACTTTGCCCAGTAGTGAGCAGAGAGAACAAATATCCAGTACTAACTACATCCTTTGTACTTCTCATGCTCTCAGGTTCTCCCAAAGATGACATCACACGTGGTAAATGAGATTGATAACATATTACGCAACAAGCCCTACAGCAAAAAGGACTACAGATCATAAGGCAATGAATGCATGAGCCACAGGAGCTGCATGGTTCAAATATCGGTCTATGCCGGTACAGAAAGGTGTTCCTAGCCAGTCTTTTAAATCACTTAGCAGCCGCTGCATCAACCTCTAGTGTCCCCGGATTCTGAGGTGTCTGCTGTCGCTACCACTGTGCACCTGAATTATGAGCACATCTGAAAACTCACAACTAAGAAAATCCATTCTATTTTCTTATCTTGGACTGGAGTCACCTATCCTTGCATTGCTCTGTACACCTCATGCTAATGCAATGGAAAGCATATGGCGGGGAAAGGTGTATTACCTTCAGGCATAGAACTTAAAGAAGGCTATACAGACAGATCTGTTTTTTTCAAATGAACAAAATCCACAGATGCCATGTGGATTGTGTCAGAAAGAAGAGGCTATGTAAATTCAGAAGTCCTGCTTTGGAAAATAAGCAAAAACAATTTTACATTTGTTTTTCTATTTTCACATTCCAAGTGTTAGCAAGCTGTTTCCCTTATCATTTCAACAAAATGTAATTCCTAGGTATTTGCTTTCATTACCTTTTAAATATTCAGTGTTGTTTGGCCCCAAAAATGACCCTGTGTAGCAATTTATCCAAAGTGTCTTATAATTCTAATAATGTTCTATTCATTTACACATAGAGATAGTAAAAGGATGAACACCAGTCTCTAATTAGAGACACTATGGTAAATGTATGCAAGTGAGGGTTACACTACTATGGAAGCTTAGCGTCGGATAAAATGTAATGCACCTGCAACAAAGTGTTCATTTTTTACTACGTTTTATGAAAATCTGCTTTATATTTTTGACTGCTCGTAGGCACAACTTCTGCAAGTTTAAATATTTGAGCTTTAAAAATAAATATACACATGCTTGGTTTTTGTAAGTAAACCTGTAAAATACCCACAAAAGCAAATGTTTGCTGTATAATTAGCACTGGGATTTTACAATACAATGCTTGGTGTTTTTGAGGAGTTAGTAACATGAAAGTAAGCCATGGGCTTTGTGAAAAATGTTACTACTCAGCATATGCTGGGTGAATTAACTTGCCCAATGAAAAACAAATGTTAAAGAATTTCCTGATTCTATAATCACATAATGTGCACTCAACTATATGCATGAAAGCTCACTGCATGAATTAAAGGGGCCTCGCTCTAATATACCTGGAAGCTGAAGCCTATCTAGCCCTGCCACTGTTGGCTACCTACCCTTATGAGCACTCCACTTGAGAACAGTTTTGAGAATGTATTGTGTGTACCTGTAAGAAAGAAGCCATTCCCCCCCCCCCTTTTTTGGGGTATGTGTTGGGGGCCAGGGTCCTATAACTCTGTTTGAACACCTGAGCCTGTACAAAATTCTAATTTAATTTTCTGGCCAGCTGGTCCCAATATATAGAAATCATTGAGACTTACAGGACAAATATACTATCAGCTTCAAATGCTATTTTATGCCATCATTTCCAAGTAAGTTCATGGTTAAGTTCTAAATCCCAAAATGTTAATGTGAAATACCAAGAAATTTCCTTTTTGATTACTACTACCTGTATTCAATTAAGGAAATAGTTTGGGTTTTTGCCCCAGAATATGAGAAATATGGAAAAGGATCATTTTTTATTGTTCATTGTGCATTCAATTAATCCAGTGAATACTTACTGTATGTATAAATGAGCTGAAGTTGTCTAATTCAAACTGCAATTCAACTTAATTTGAGTAGAGTAATAAAAGCATTTTGTGCATTTAATCGCACAATTAGTTTTTATCTGACCTTTCTTTCACTATAAGGCTATATATATATATATATATATATATATATATACACACACACACACACACACACACATTTATATATTATATATATATCCTACATAATAAAGAGGTAATATGCAAATTAACCCTCACACCCTCACAAGATGGCTGCCTATGACCAGGCCAGCAGGGGGGTTAGTGAGGGACGACCAAACAACTGAATAAGCAGGCTGCGTGGGGCAACCACGCTGGCAGGGAGGCCGTGAGGGGCAACCAGGCCGGCAGGGGGGGCAGTTGAGGGTAACCAGGCCGGCAGGGGGGGGGCAGTTAGGGGCGATCAGGCAGGCAGGCAGGTGAGCGATTAGGAGCCAACAGTCCCGGATTGTGAGAGGGATGTCCTGGATTGGCGAGGTTGTAGGCTGGGCTGAGGGGAACCCCCCCTCCCCGTGCATGAATTTTGTACACCGGGTCTCTAGTGTATATATATCCAGATCCAAAAAACAGGCAGTAAGACTCATTTAAAAAAATGATGTTGGCAGGTAAGCTACCCTGAATGATACCTAACAGAAATAGCAGTGATCAAGATTTGAACTGAAATTCATACTTTCCTTATTAATGGAGCAAATGATTAGCTACTAAAGATATCATTTCTCATTTGGTTTTAGAAATACTCCACACTAAAGGTTAAAGCTTCTCAAACTCATTTAAAAGAGCCTGCAAATTAAACGAAATAAGCCTGTCAGAGAAAGACAAGTATCACATGATCTCACTCATATGTGGAATCTAATGAACAAAATAAACTGATGAGCAAAACAGATCCAGAGACACAGAAGCATGGAACAGACTGTCAAATCTCAAAAGAGAAGGTGGGGCTGGGGGAAGGGTGGGAAGAGATTAACCAGGAAACTTCTATGCACACATGCATAACCCATGAACAGACAATAGTGTGGTGAAGGCCAGGAGGGGGTTGCAGATACGGGGTAGATGGGGTCAACGGGAAAAGGGGGACATCTGTAATACTTGCAACAATAAAGATTAATTTTAAAAACCAACAACAAATATAAACATTACTGCTTGTAGGAACAGCTAACTTTTTTTATATACAGGTCATCTGCCATGGTAAATATACTAGATAAGAAATATATTTCAGCCCTAACCAGTTTGGCTCAGTGGATAGAATGTTGGCCTGTGGACTGAAAGGTCCCAGGTTCAATTCCAGTCAAGGGCATGTACCTTGGTTGCAGGCACATCCCCAGTGGGCGGTGTGCAGGAGGCAGCTGATTGATGTTTCTCTCTCATCGATGCTTCTGACTCTCTATCCTTCTCCCTTCCTCTCTGTAAAAAATCAATAAAATGTATATATTTTTTTAAAATAAATATATTTCATAATTATATCCTTAAGAAAAATTTCCAAAAAAAAAAAGAAAAATTTCCATGCACTCTCATTTTATTTTCTATTTTGGAAAGAATTCCTTGGGAGAGAACATACCATTCCTAAGAGTAACCTGGGTAGCAGCCATCCACATACTAAAATCTCAGCCAAGGGAAATGAAAACTAGAAACCCTGTGCCTGACTTCTCACTTTAAGAACTGTCACTTCATCTTAACAGTGTGCCAAGGGTGTTCAGATAGCTAGCAGGCCATCTTCAAGACCATCCCTCTTTGGCAAATGAGGAAACCAAAACTGGAAAGATGGAGGGATTTGCCCAAACTCACACTGCTGGTTGATGGCAGAACCAGGCAAGTTATTTTGTTCAGTGCTGTTTTAGGTACAATTTTCTTTTTTAGCTTTAAAGCTTTGTAAAGAAGGAACTGTGTGTGAATTTTTAAGGTAAAAAAAAAAACAAAAAAAAAACGGGTATGAAGCCAAATTCAGAATCAGTTAAGATGGAAATTCAGAATCAGTTAAGATGGAAAGGTCAAAGAAGTGATACAATTAAAACTCATGAAGGCAAGTAAGTAGTCTCTAACCACCTCCATGAAAATTTAAACCAACCACTTAAAAACCACTCCTAATCTTCAATTAATTTCCCTACTTGGGAGTCCAAGCAGGCAAAAGCTAACCCCTTCCAGCCCAAAACATGTATCAACAAATTGGTTCTCTCAATATATGTACATGCCTATGTATATCCTTCCATTGTGTCTCCAGAAGCAGCATAACTGGCACAGATACTGAAAGCACAGAAACAAGGCGGGCAGGATAGCACAGCAGGCACATGCTGGCAAAGAGGCCTGACATTCTGCTCTGTAATGTAACTGCACTGTGCCAGTCACTGCCACACAGAGATCGGAACAGTGACCACAAAAATGCATTTACATGTGTAGGAAATTTAAATGGTGGGTAATGTAAGATAACATACTAAAGATAATGTACTCAGCCACATGGTTCTTATCAAGAGTCTAGGGAAAGTATAAATTTTAAAAAGCAAAGTTTAATGATACTTTGTTAGCGAGACCTTTTACAAGAATTTGGTAAGAATCCAACCTCCACATTTCAGTTAACTTTAAAACTTGTTTCAAATTATTCTTTCCAAATTAGAATAATTTATCCAATAGAACAACCAGTACATTTTTACTGGCTAAGAATAATTTCAAGTCAAGATTTTTATTAAGTTGTAAATGAAGAAACTAAAAACAGGGAAATGTAAAATGTCCCAACAGTTTAAGCCTCTAGTTATCACAAGGGGTGTGAAAAAAAGGGGTTTAATCACTTTATATCCCAATTACAACAGAACCCTTTATTTTACTGGATCTGAGGGTCTTTTGAGATAAAAATTCTACAGCAAGTTTTTACTAACTAACCCAGATTTATTAGCTCATTGTAATTCTATGTGTCACGTGGCCGCCATTTCAGATGATGGAGACAGGACTGGGGAATTTGCAAGAGCAGAGTATTGATAACCTGCATGAAACTGTGGAACTGTGAGTACATCTATAAACTCATGCACAGAAATTTATCTAGTATAGGAAGCTCAAAATCATAAGGATGAAAAACAAGGTGCTGTAGGAAAAAGTTCGAACCAAAATCAAATTTTGCTTACTTACATTTCTACAAATTATTCAGTTTATTAATTCAAGAGCAACTCTTTAAAGAATACTAAGCTGATGCCCCTATTTCACCACCCCATTTCAACTACATTGCCTTAGTCCAATAGTGGCAATTCTTCCCCCATCTATACAGGCACTGCCATCTAGTGGTGATTTTTTACCTGCAATTTAAAAAGATACTTGGCCCAGCTCTGGTAACAAATAGTAGATGCTGATGGTTTGTCAAAGAGGCATTTTGTCAAGTTAAGTAAATGTATTTGGTACATAAACTCCATGCCACTTGTCAAATTACTTACTGGTTACTTATCAACAGGAAAAAAAAACAAAAAAAACAAACAAAACCAGGTTAAAACATAAAAATAAAGCTAACCACTTTGCAGTGAATCTCTTCTGGCATCCCCATTTACTATGTATTATCCAGTGATGACACATGAATAACGCACCAAAGAAAAGAACTGCAAACTTCCAGAAGCAATGACGAACTGTAATCCTCAGACGGTAATGATGGTCTGGGTCACTGTGCAAGTGTACTCCTCCCTGTGTTCCTTCCAAGTCCTTGGATGTGGCCTACAGAAACATCTAACAGCGTGGAAGTAAAAAATGAACTCCCAATAAATACCTTTCTGTACAGTTATAAATAAAACAGCAAGTACTATTTACAACATTCATCTTAATTTACAAGTGGAAACTAAAGATTAAAGTTAGGATTAGGAATATATTTCCTTTGAGGTACTGTTATAAGAAACTAGTGGCCCAGTGCACGAAATTCATGCACATTAAAAGGGAATTAGAGGAAATATTTTAATATTGATATTCACGTCCCCTGGTCTGGCGCTTGGCAAGGAGGCAGCTTCTTGTCCCCGGCCAGGCGCCGGGCTGAGAGGCAGCCCCACGTCCTGGGCTGGCGCAAGTCCCTGCCCAGCGACGCTGAAAGTCCCTGCCCACCCACGCCTGCCTCACACGCAGCCTCCTACTGTTCTGTCGTTATGGTGTCATGGCGTGATGACTATTTGCATATTAGCCTTTTATTATGATGATGATTACTGGATGTGGTCAAAGCTAATAGGAATATGAAACCACTACTATCTCCTGGGATTCCACAACCTTTCAGTGATATAGGTTCAAGAGCTTCCCAAACTTTTTAAAATCATGGCACACACATAAAATTATACTAGTAATATCTGTACACACACTGGTTAAAAAATGCAAGAGATTGCTCTCAGCTGGACCCCCAAGGACTGAAAAAAGCAATATTTTATTCCCAATCAATGGGAACCTGTGGTCTAAAGGTCAAATTTATGAACGTATGAATGGGAAAATAATGACAAACACTAACATCACTTTAATCCTTGGAATGCTCTTAGAATTCTGGAGCTAAGATCACAAAAATTACTTTGGTCTTTTACATCTATATTCAGGAGAGAGGTTCTCTCTCTCACCCAACACTCCTCCAGGGACAGAGACCCCACTCTAAGAAAACCATGATGCCAGTCTTTCAACAAGTCAAACTAACATGGAGGGTGAAATTGGCATCTCCGGCTACCCAAGGCCAAAGCTGTACAGCTGAGCAGTGTGCTTTAATCCCACAGGACAACTCTCAATTGCCAGAGCACTATTCTTATTTTTTTCTTTATGTTTTCCCATCACCATGTACCCTTCCCATACCCTCAACCGTCTCCACCCTCCCTCCCTCCTGGGTACTATTTTTAGGTTATTACCTTGGCTGCCTTTCTTCCATTTTTTTTTTTTTTTAAAAAAAAGGAAGAAATTTTCCACAAGTTTCTTTTCCCCAAATTGGAGAAACCATGTTTTCAACTTTTATTGAGTTATTTCAAATCACATATTCAGAGATTTGTAAACATGCATTCAATCCCACCCCCCAGGCAGGGGAAAAGGGAGGAAAGAGGATTCATTCTGATATTAATGGTTCAAAAAAAGCTGTAATATTGTGCTTGGAACACACAGAACCAGCTATTAACTTCTTGCTACTCTAACAAATACTAACAGTTCAGTCCAGGTTACTGTGACCTCTGACAGATCAAGGAAACAAGTTATTTTCTCCTCTTGTGATTGTAGCACATTGCCAGACACATTTGCCTTTTTAATAAATGCCCTGGTACTCTGAGTTTCCTTTCCAATTCATGTACTTTCAACAGTTTGTCAAAAAAGAGCCAATAAACAAATATTGAATTACATTTTGTTGGGTCTTTCAAACCCTCAAGCTCCAGACTATAAAAACATCTTGTGTGTCTCCCACCCCGACCACCCGGCTTCTTTTCCATACACCACAGACCACCCATAAATACAAAGCCAAGGGTAAAGCTGACACGGTCTATTTGGAGCCAGTAGACAGGAGGGCGATGAGACCTGATGAAGCACTTATGGACAGAATATAGTTCCTGTAAAAATTTAATGTTAAGGAAAAATTAAGAACCCAAAATTAATTTTCAACAAAACAAAACAAGTCCATCTCTCTGGAATATACTGCTTCCCTCCTGACACTCTGCCTAATGACAATGCTATGTGGTCCCATTGTCTGTAAACGCAATTTACAAGACACAAGACTATAAAGAATATTCACAGGAAATTTAAAAACACTTGAGACAGAAACCTAGAATACATGACCACAAAGAAAACACTCAAATTCCATTTAACCTTCAGAAGAGCTGATCAAAGACCATGGGGAGGAAGAAGAGATGTCTTGTCCTTTCTCCCCTCTCCATCAGTGTACTGGCCACAGTGGGCCTATAAAAGTAAGGAGGTTCTGAAAGTTTGCAGCTACTCTTGGCCTCAGGACTGGTCTGTTTGGGACAAACCACTCCTCCAGAAGATACAAGTTGAAGAGTGTCACATTTTATTACATCAAAATCTCCAACTGTTAAAAATTTGGCTGCACATTCCTGGATAAAAGCTTTAATAAATTATCTTAGCACCTTTAATAAATTAAGAAAGCTCAATTTAAGAGCAGCTTGAAACACTGTTAAAATATTATGAAATGTGCCTATTTAAACTGGCTATCCACCCAATCCCAAAGTCCAAAATATCATTAGACACATGGCTTACATCAAGAGCTATCAAAGAAAGCAAGTTTGCCTTTCCTCCTTGGAACTCTTTTTTTAAGTAGGCGGGTATACATAATCATATATGTGAGTCTATTTATAGTTACTTGCCATGAAGTCATAAACTTGAAAGAATTTTACATCAAACCAAAAGCCCTTATTTTAAATGTTCAGAAACGTGCCTAAGGTCACAGTGCTATTTAATAAACTGACTCCCTATATGAAACCAAAAGAAACTACTATTTCTAGATTTCTAAAAAACGTAATCAATCTTTAAAAGGATACACTGTGGGGTTGAAGTTCTTCAATATAAAGAAGGATGCAACGATGACCAAGACCAGGAATAGGGTGTTGTTATAGAAGATGGAAAATGTTGTAGCTTCATAATCAGCAACTTCATTCTTCTTCCACAAGATTCTGTAGACAAAGAAACAAGTGAACTGAGTTTATAAATATGTTTTAAAAATTTTAAATACCACATGGCTCTAGTTCATTGTAAAGTAAGTTTTTCCACCCAGTTGGTATGGCTCAGTGGTTGAGCTTTTATCTATGTATGAACCAGGAGGTCACGATGTAATTCCCAGTCAGATACCCTCCATGGATCCTATGGACAATACTATGGCTAATGTCACTGGAAGCTGCCATGTTTTGTTCACTAAATCTTCTAATGTAAATTCAACAAGCATAAGGGAGCTAAATGAAGAGTATTAGCACCTTATCTCCATCATAAGAAATTTGCAACCCCTAACATATATGCCATGTTTTCTTAATTCTATGGATATCATTAACGTAATAGATCTCCAATTTACTATAAGTTTGGAAGAAGTGAAGGATATTATATTCAATGCAGCTATCTACTATGAAACAGCTCCTGATTTCAAAGAAGTTTAAATGTAAATGTAAAAAATATATGACTTGGAATGGGAGGAGATACATTATACCATTCTAGCACTAATTGATCAAAGAAAACACCAGCTCAGAAAGATGCATAGACCCAACATGGTTTAATGCACAGAACAACTGCCTCTGGTGTTAAGACTCTGGCACAAGACCCAATAAAGACAGTGTCCTTAAAAAGGCTACTAGCATGCCTTTAGTATGGATTAATTATCCCCCCTCCATCACAGCACTTCTCCCTAACTCCCTGCCATGCCCTGAATCAGAAACATCGTCAAAACAGCCTTGATGAAAGAAATAGCTCAATCCTTCCGGTTACCCCAGCTCCCAAAATCAGTGTGCATGACATCCATGTATATAGTCAGGACTGCGTGACAGCTTTTAGAACATTTTCTAGTCTACACATATCCTGGTTCATTTTGAAAAAATTTAGGACTCCCAAGTGGCCTCACTAGCAATGGTTCCGCCAAAGCTTCCCTGTTAGGAAATCTAGTTTGAGAGCGCACTTTCCAAGGAGTCTTTTTTCCAAGGAGCACTTCCTACAACAAGAGAAAAGTTGACACCAAACTCAACAACGATTACAATCAGATCATGGTAAATGACAGATCATTGGTAAGTCAGGGAGAAATAACACTCACACCCTGGGGCAAATATTAATAAATCTGATCACCTCTGCTAATTTCATCCTTGAATGGATGGCAGTGCAGTTTCAAAGTGCCATATACTCTAAATGACTATAGATGGAGCTTTGACAGATATGCATCACTGCAAAGAGATGCTGATAAGCCTTCTCTTAAATCAAATCCCTCCTTTGAAGAAAAATATTAGATTATAAATGGTCCCAGTTATCAGAGTGAATCATGAATATAGACCTGGGTACAACTATCCAGTGTGGCTTTTGTGAGAGGAATACAAAACAAATAACAGCACAAATTTTTACTGATAACAACAGAAATTTTACACTCTTCTGACACTCTGCATTTTATGTCTCAAAGAAACTTCATTCTCCTTTGAAATATCTGGTCCAGCCAATGGCACTGAGGTTTCATTTCCAATTCCAACTCTGACTCATTAGTAGTGATTAATTGAATACCACTTGCTGAGAAAAATTCCAAGACACATCCCAAGATCAAGAACAAGTGCAGACCAAATCAGGCAAGTCTGCTGTGGGCATATGAGACTCACTTACTATCTGGTATAACTAATCACCTGAAACCTACAAGAGCTATAACAAGCATTTTGAAACTGGTTAACTATGATAAGCACTCAGTTTAATAGCTATTAGTATAATAAATATCATAATTCAATAAAAGGGTTTTTAAAAAGTGTTCTAAATTCTCTAACCTCCATCCCTTTGCAAAAATTTGCATTCAGAAAGCTATGCAGCTAGCCTGGCCAGTATGGCTAGTGGTTGAGTTTAACCCATGAACCAAGAGATCACCGGTTCAATTCCCAGTCAGAGCACTGGGTTTCAGGCTCGATCCCCAGCAGGGGGTGTGCAGGAGACAGCCTACTGATGATGTTTTTCTCTCATTGATGTTTCTAACTCTATCCCTCTCCCTTGCTCTCTTTAAAAATCAATAAAAACATTAAAAAAAAAAAAAGGCTATGCAGCTAGAACTCATTAAAGCTATTCTCTGAAAAAAAATTTAAAAAAAGGCCCTCATTGTCATGACTTTAGTACTGTGCCTTCAGTTTTATAAAGGATCCATAGGAGATAACCACTTCACTATTTGGTGCCTTTCCAAAACCACTGTAGAAAACACTGTTCATTAAGTTACTCAGTGTCCCTTAAATAAGGATCCACTTGATAAAGTCCTTCCAGATTCAGTGCCAGGAAAGTTTCTTTTCAGGAGGACTGGCACACTGCTTCTCATCGGACAATGAAAGCAGCATGACCTCAGATGCTTCCCGACACTTGGACGCTCAGAGCTAAGTTTAGTGCTCAACTGCTGTAACTAACTATGAGGTCCCTGTTCATCCACTTTTTCTTACTTTTAAATGGTTTCTGATCTTTTAAAATTGCACTGCTTTGTTTTACACACACTTGCATATTGCAAGTCCCCACAAAGTCTTCCTGGAGCAAAGTGGGATAAAAATGCCATTTCACAAACCACTTTGAGATACTAAAATTTAAGGTCCATGAAAACAATCTCAATCCATGACTCTATTCAACCATCTGGCAGCTCTGAAGCACAAGTCTACTCAATCGTTCAGAGACCTCTGCTGCTCAGATGTTAGACTGTCTATTAACCCCTTTCAGAGCAGATGACAGGAAAAATGGGGATGGGGGCCAGGACTAACAAATGTGGCACAGGACTGTGCAACAGGAGACAGTTTTTTTCTTTTTCCCAAAGCAGATAACTCAGACCGGAAGCTCAGTAACAGAAATACCACCACCTAAAAATGCTAACACATAACACAATGTAAACTTTTCAGAGCTGGGTGTGTGGGGGGGGGGGCGGGGTTAGGTGATAAGTCCAAGGTCACACAGCTATCCAGTGGCACCAGACAAAGCTCTGCAGCAGAGCAGTTATGAGTACAAGCCAGATGCCTGTAGTCTTACCATGGCTTTACCTTCCACTAATGTGAGGCCTTGATCAAGTTACTGAAGCTTTCTCCACCTGTTTCCTGAGGTGTACAATGAAGATAACAATAGTACCTACCTCCTTAGGGCTCTTTAGAGAAATAGATGACCTGTGTACAGCTCAAAGGCAGGAATAAAAACTCAAAGTCAGTTATTCCCATTACTATCTTTTCTACAATACCAATGTTTGCCTCAGACAATTCCGACACCCACATTCTCTAAGCAGAAATCAAAAACTTCTACAAAGTATCCCCTCCTTTGATTACCACAAAATCATTAAACAAGGAGTCAAACCTTTCATCTTTTTCCTTCCGAGACATCTTTCTATTATCAGCTTCAGAAAGTTTTCGAGTCACTTCTTTGGAAACAGCATCTTCCCTCTTCTGTGCTACTCTGGAAGGAAAAGAAAAAAGTTTCCACATGCTCCAGGAGTGGACATTACTTTCTCAGAAACACTCTGTACTCAGATTTTGTATTGGCAACTGTGTAATACTTTACATTTCCAGAAAATAAACTTTACAGAAAGTTCCAGGGTTATCACACTGTAGTATTAGTTAAAAGAGAGGGAGGAGTTCAAGAAACTTCCAAGATGTGGTTTATTAGTTATGAGTTTGATTTCTGCTTAAAAGAGAGAATTTCCCAGTTTATGTATTTACTATGGAAACAGAAGTCAAATGCTACTAACACAATTTAGTTATAAGTCATTATAAATCCATTTTGTTTTAGCCTATAATTTAACAGTTCAATAAATAAATCTGACAAGATATTAGCAAATGACACATGGCTTTAATTCCAGTAAGTAACAGGAGAGAAAACTAGGCTTAAAAACAAAACAAAAGGGAATTAACAACTATAATATCTTAAAGTAATGCTTTTAACTCTACTCCAAAGGACAATTTCAATAAAAAGAAATAATACCACATGGTCAGGGACTGACCACACCACTTTTAGTTAAATGAACCACTGGTAAGAGGTTTGCACAAAAAGATCATATGGAATCAGCCAGAAAAGGCTGGAAGTGATAGTCACGCTACCAGATCAGAATCTTCAGTGACAAGTCAGATAAAGAAAAAAATTAAACGTATACTCATCAAAAAATAGACATGGTGAATTTTATCAGATGGGGTTGTTAGTGAAAAAAAGAATAAAATGTAAACTTGGATGAAATACAAAGTCTCCCAAAGATTATGACAGTTAGATTCAACATATATTTTTCACAAAATAGGAGAAACTTATTAGCCATAAATATAGAGGGAAAAGTAAGAACTGATCACAAGCAACATGTAACAACTACCTACACAGAACCACTATGAAAACATTTGACACGATACAGAGATGTGTTTAAAGCAACAGGATGTGGAACAGAGATAGAAATCTGTTCACTCTATGTTCAATTAATGTTTCCTCGGTGACTATGCTATTTAGTTCTGGCTAGTGTACCAAGGAAAACTGGAAAAATCAGGATGGCTTCCAGAAAGAAAAGCTGAAGATCATTCAAGGCAATAGTTTTCAACCTTTCTTTAACCACAAGAGCTTCTGGAATACAAATCAAGCACAAATTCTATTTGGTTTCACCTATGCCTCCATCTCTATATCTCACCCAAGAATCAAGTTAGAGTTTACATTGTTAAAAAGAAAACCTTGCCCGACCAGTGTTGCTCAGTGGTTATGAGTCAACCCATGCACAGGGAAGGTCGCAGATTTGATTCCAGATCAGGGCACTCCTGGTTTCGGGCTCAATCCCTAATAGGGGACGGAGGGGGGGGGGGGTGTTTGGGAGCTAGGGGGACGTGCAGGAGGCAGCTGATCAATGTTGATGTTTCTCTCTCATCAATGTTTCTCTCTCTCTCTCTCTCTCTAAAATCAATAAAAACATATTTTTTAAAAAGAAAAAACTTTGGTCAGTATCAACTAATGTATTTTTCTACAAATAGATAACTGGGGAGGAGGGAAATCAATTTGCTTAAGAAAAATAGATAAAAGGAAATTTAAGTTCTGAAACCTAAAAAAAAAGACAGCTAAGAGGGCAGACAGCTATCTTAACAGATAGTTTAGACAGACACTATAGTGTACTTTTTCCTCCAAAAAATACTTCACCTGACTCATTGGGTAAAAGTTCTGCTCAGAAGGTATCTCTGACTCTTTCTAGCAGACCAACCACTCAGTGTTTCTGAACTTCACATAAGACCACTCTTTTCTAAGAAAGACCAATTGGAAAGAAATGTACCAGCAGAAATCATTGTTAGCTTAACAGAGGGGAAAAAATACCTACCTATACACGCATACACACCAACTGTCAGGACACAGGAATAAACTATTTTCAAGAGTTGGTTATCTCTAAGCATCTTTAGGACAAATAGTCAAATATCTGTTCACATAACAAATCTTCCTGAAGAGACTGAACCAGAAAAATTTCTCTTCTAGATCTAAAATTCTATATCCAACAACCACACTGTAGGTTTATTAGAATTCAAAAAGCCCTATCCTCCTTCTTAAGGATCTTAGAAAATAAACCCCACTCAGCACTGAATACTGTAAAATATAGAGGTCACTCAAGTGGCCCAGCACTCAGCCAACTAGGATAATCCACAAATTCAATTGTTTTGCTACTATTTTTTTTACATCAGTGTGTAAAAAATTAAAAAACAAAAATACTACCTATTTAATTTCTTAACACAAACACATATTTGCAACATTTTTTAAGTCATACCAACTTAAAAAATAATTTCTAAGGGCTCCCTCACACACAACCTCTCCAACACTGCACATAAACACTTATGTGCCAGATACTATGCTTATGTCACATATAGCATAGTGTTTAATACTCACCATCCTATGAAATACCATTAGTAGCCCCATTTCACAGCTCAGGAATGTGAAGTCTAAAACGGTTATGCCCTAGGTCAGGGGTCCTCAAACTATGGCCCGCGGGCCACATGCAAATACAAATATTGTATTTGTTCCCGTTTTGTTTTTTTGCTTCAAAATAAGATATGTGCAGTGTGCATAGGAATTTGTTCATAGTTTTTTTTAAAAACTATAGTCCGGTCCTCCAACGGTCTGAGGGACAGTGAACTGGCCCCCTGTTTAAAAAGTTTGAGGACCCCTGCCCTAGGTTATACATTTAAGGGCAACAAAGCTGGGACAGAAATCCAGACTGTCAACTCTGAGTCATCTCCCCTCTACTACTAATACCTGTCTACACGCAGCATCTCCCTTGAACTTCGAGCTTTAACCTTCTTGCATACCTGTAGGAGTTTCAATGTCAGTGGCAATATTTAGTATGAAAGCAAAACTATAACTAAAAAATAATTCCACTGAAAGAATCTATTAAATCAGTAATCCACTGAAATTTTTACTGAACTAAATGTACTATGAACTGTTGTAATAGATATAAAATAAAAGTAGCAGTTGCCCTCAAGAAATCCAAAGTAGAATGAGATGGTAAAAAGAACATCATTTTGGTTACAAAAAAAGTAAATGAAAAATGATATGCAGAACAAGAAAAACACTAAGTCTCAAAAGGACTGAGTTTCAAAGGATGGGCTGTGCAAGATGCCCACCGCTAAGCTTCACTATCCACCAATGGCCATGCCTCACAAGAAAGCCCAGAACAGCAGAGGCTGAGGTGGCTGAATCCTGGAATGGCAGCTGGTGACAAGGGGTTAACAACAAAAAGATGACATGGGTGACTTGACCACTACTGTCTAGCAGAATTGCAGCCACCTACAACCTGAGTTCCCACTGGTCCAGAAGAGCAGTAGGGAAGCTGCCTGGCCACTTTCAGCTACTGAGGCTGTTCTGTCCTCCTCACAATACGTAAATCCGTTAACTGAGATCACTTCCATTCCTTGTCACCAGAAAGACTCTAATGCAGGGACAACAAACTTAGGACGGATTTCTCTGGAAAAGATTCCCAAGTCTTGAAATAAGACAGGTAAGAATGGGAAGGAAGAAAGACCATCTTAAATGAGGGAGGGCACAAGACACTTTCAAAGGATGACACGAAGGCTGATAAGAAGCGCTAAGAACCAACGCTACAAGATGAAACCACACTGGGAGGAGGTAGGTGAGTTGCATTCCAGGGATCTGTCAGAATTTTGTTTTCATACACTTAGTGTATGGTCCTCATGGGAAGCGAGTATATGGTGAGTTTTAAGTAAGAGAGGGACAGGATAAAAATGATGGCCGATAGGGATGAATATATGTTCTTTTATCCCATAAAGCAGTAATACCACCTGCAGTTCACACGTGTAACATAAGGATTACGTAGAGTAACATGCTTTATACTGCTTATGGCAGGGAGAGCCCCAAACTTTTGTTGAAAGACTAGATGGAGACTGCTACCACAACCCAAGCAAAAACAGCATCTAAACTAGAGTGGGAACTATGGAAATGAAAAGGAAAAGCGCACAGAAAGCACATGGTACTTCAAGTCTCATCAAAACTCCAACCCTCTTTAAGAAAGTACTTCCAAAGAAATAGAGCACCAAGAAGGCTGCACTAAGTAAACAGAGAAGTACCCTGCTATCCTGAGTCAAGTATCAAAGTGTGCATGAAAGCAACGTCAATGGGCATCTTTCCAATTAAACATTATGTATACCTGCTTCCCCTGAGGACCACGGCATCTGAATAAAAAATGTTATCCTCTTTCCTTAAGTTTTGACTGTTCCCCCCACGCTTTAACCTTTATGAAACCGGAGTATATAATTGCTTATAATTAATGTGTGAATTTATAGTTGTGTGGCTTGGGTTTTCTTCTCCAAAAGCTATCACTAAAATGATGTATTTTATAATATGTGTGATCATGAAATATTAATTGTCATATACTCATAAGAAAAAAACGTAATTAGCATTAAAAATGTTAGTTTGATAACAACAACAAAACCACTTTGTTCACATCCAAAAATCAATCATGGAGAGCCCAAAACAGTTCTTTCCAGAAAGAATTCCAGCTGCTTTGGAAATGTTAAATTACTTGGTGGGTTTTGTTTTTCTGATTAAACTCCATGATTAAGGGCTAATTCCACCCTCAAAACCTACTTTCACAGCAATGTCAGAAGCATTGCCTCTGCTTCGAGTAAGTTAATAATTCTTCATAGCATTAAGGTGCCTTCCCCCAAACCAGATACATATATATATCTCAAATTGATGCTTACTGAAACCAACACAAACACGAATGGTCTTTAAGACAGTCTAGTATATAAAAATGCATTATACTTTCACTTAAGAAATATACTTACTTGTGCTTGAGTACAAATTTCACATTTTTGTAGGCAAAGGCTACCAAATAAGTGCTTACAAGGGTCATCACGCTGTACAGAACAGCAGACTGAATAAGATCCATATGCCATATTCGCCAGTATAACCCTGAAGATTAAAAAAAAAAAAAAATGGGTGGTGGTGGGGTTGGGGTACAAAAAAGAAACAAAACTTTACCACCCAGTTGTGAAGACCTGCTGAATTCGTGACAGGTAAGGCTGGTAAAATACAGCCTGGGCTAGGGAATCCAGTACATGCAGAACTCCAGAAGTGGGACACCCAGGAAGAAGTTACAGCCTCAAGCCTACCCAATGCAGAACCCTCGAAAAACATAACCTTCCACATGAAGGTTTCTGCTTTCTCTAAAATGAGAACTCCAGCTCCACAAAAACCACAATTCTGACTTCAAATTTCATTCGTCCGGGTACTGTTAAGCTAAGTACAGGCCACTCCCAAATGCCACGTGCAGTCCTGAGCCACAGTTTACGCGCTGACGTGGCTGTCAGTCCGAAGCCAAGGCCTGCTCGGTGCAGCCGGGGAGCCACGCGGGCCCCACGCCACGCTGGCTGCACGCTGCTTTGTACGAGGCTGAAGGAGAAAAAAAAAAAAAGAATCTAGATTTGACCGCCCAACAACCGTGCAGCAGTGTGAGCGAGAGGAAATGCAAATCCGGGAAACCTGAGCCCTAAAAACAACGCTGGCCCAGTCTTGCAAACTGTCTCCTTCCACTGAGAACAGCCCTAATAGGATGGTTAAAAAATTTACACAAGGGAACTCGCTGGCGCTTGGCACAGGACCTACCGAGCTCATCAAATTAGGAAAAAAAGAAGCTCGGGCGTGTGAATTGATTCACCGAAAGCTACACCTTGCATCCAGTGCGAGAGTTCACAGGAACCTCTCTCTCCTTTTAATTCATTAGTTTCTCCAAAATAAGTCAGGATGTACGTGCAAGATCTCGTAATGGCAAAGGAGAGGGAGGGGGCTGTATGCGGGAAGGTCAGCATCAGGTCTTAGCTGGGGTGCGACTGTTTAAGTACAGAATCGGGGCTGCCAGCCCCGCACTGGGGAATCCCGGCCCGGCGCCTGGGCCCGGGACCCGCGCACTTTCTGCAAAGCGCCCCAAGCAACTTTCCTGGGAGGCGGCCCGCCACCACCCCGGCCGGGAACACCCGGGCTGCGGGGTTCCCCGAGCTCACGGCGAGCGGGAAAGCGCGGGCGCCGAGGAGCCAGCGCTCCCTCGCCGTCCGCCGGGCCCGGCCACGTCCGCGTCCCCGTCCCCGCCCAGCCCGGCCCGCCGCCTCCCCTGCCCGCCCGCTCCCGGCGCTCACAGATGGGGATGGCGGACACGATGAAGGCATTCCCGAAGAAGAGTGCGGAGGACTTGGCTGAGAGGTTGCGACTGAAATCCTGGAGGAGCAGGTCCTCCTCGGACTGCTGCTTGGAGCTGCCTTTGGGAGCCATGGTGGAGCCGGAGCCGGAGCCGGAGCCGGAGCCAGGAGCCAGGAGGGCCCACCCCGCGCGAGGCCCGGCCGGGGCCTCTGGCTCCGCCCCCGCGGCCGCCTAATCCGCTAACGACTCGTCAGCCCTGCGCGCGGAGGCGGGACCTGTGCCGCGCGCGCCGAGCACGCTTGGCCAGGATTGGCCAGCCCGGAGCCACCGCCCAGGCTTCCCGGCGTGATTGGGCGAGTCGGCTAGACTTCCGCCTTCCTGGCAAGTCTTTTGACTCCTCGGCTTCCAGAAGACGGCTGGGATTTGTAGTTTAGTAGGTGCTTTAAAAAGAAAAAAAAAAGAAAAAAACCTTATGGACAGGCCACATCACAGCTTCTGATAGACTGGTGCTTTCCAAGGCTGGAATTCCAAGGTGAGATCTTGAGCCGGAGTCATGCACTCATGCATTCAACCAGGCAACAGTTAGTTCCCTCTCTGTGTGCCCAGTGCTGGGAGAAGAGGAGAGAAATTAGGGACAGCTAACAAGTGTAGAGTCCCTTCTCCTTTACACATCCGTTACGTTATTAAACATCCTCAAAAGTTCTATGCTGTGCATATCATTGACCCGTTTTGCCGGAGAAGAACCTGAGAGTGGGGGACTGGCAGGGTTGGTCTCCCTGTCTGTGGGTTCTTCCTATATAATAAAAGGCTAATATGCAAATTGTCCCGATAGGCCCCGATCAGGGAGGGCCAGCTGCACCCCACCCATGCATGAATTCGTGCACTGGGCCTCTAGTTTCATCATAATAAAGGGCTACCTTTGTACAAAAAAGAAGGTATTTTTAATTTTGAGAAACTCATGGTCTCATTAAGATAATATTTAGCGTGTCTAATACATTTACAAATTGCTACTATTTACTTACTCTTATTTATTTTTTTAAAATATATTTTATTGATTTTTTTTACAGAGAGGAAGGGAGAGGGATAAAGAGTTAGAAACATGAAGGAGAAACATCGATCAGCTGCCTCCTGCACACTCCCCACCGGGTATGTGCCCGCAACCAAGGTACAAGCCCTTGACCAGAATTGAGCCTGGTCCCCACCCCTTCAGTCCTCAGGCTGATGCTCTATCCACTGAGCCAAACGGTTAGGGCTACTTACTCTTATTTAAACAAGATATTTAAAGTAGTGTGGTCTCCAGAGCCATGCTAAATTAAACATAATACTAAGTAAAAGCAACATGTTGGCTAGACAGGCTTCCTTGAAGCGCAGAAGATTGAATGTGCCTATTAAAACAACTAGGTACCATTTTTAACTCATCAAATTATCACTTTTTTTGTAAAAAAATGATGCTGAACCATTGCACTCTGAGCAAAAACTTCTTTCTTCTACATTATTGACATCAGATAAAATTTCCTCAATCTGCAGCTTCCCTATTAGATTTGAAGATCTTTCTCCCTCACCTTATCAAATTGTAGCCTACCTCTACAGGTTTCATTCTAATGGCATTATCTTCAATCTTTTTCAATCTATTCTCTATATAGGTACTACAGTGAGTTTTCCTGGACTATAAATCCTTCTATTATCTACAGCAAGTATTCCCAAATGCCAGAAGTTATCACCAATTAACTGCAAAATGAGAAAGAAAAAAATAGAGTAGTGAATTTTTTTGAAAACTAAAGGTATTCATTTTTAAATATCTGCACTTGAGCCCCTTTGTGATATTAAAATTATTTTTCCTTTATTATGTGGTGATGGTGATAGTTGAAGAAACTCTTATTTTTCTCTTCCATCATACTCCTCTCTCAGTTTTTTCTGTTTTAATAAGCCCATTTGTTCTGGCTTAAATGCTAGGTTTCAACACTAATTCTGGTCTTTCCCTCTCCAACTGTGACCAATGCATCAACAAAACTACTTGGCTGTCTCTATAACTAGATTTCCTGATTGCTATTTGTAAAATAAGTATATAAAAAAGAAAATGTGCAATAAAATCAAAAAACTATTAGATCAAAAGGGACAAAAATCATCAGAATATGTAAAAGAGAAGAGGAAGGAAATAAGAAATATTAATAGTTAAAAAGAATTATACCTGAGAAGAATGTTTAAACAATTAAATGTTAATAGATAAAAATGTTAAAAATAAAATTATCAAAAGGAACTAGATGAGAAAAATTAATATACTTGGTAAACCAAGAATAAAAATCGAAAATAATAAATATAAATAGAAGAGAATCAAAAATAGTAGAAACTTGAATTTTTTATAGGGGTACGTTAAAAAACTATGATAAGCAATGATGCTCATAACAAAGAAGGTTTCATGGTGATGGTTACACTGAAGATTACAAAGGTAGCACACTTGAAATACTGGAGCAGTGATTTCTTATACCAAACTAGAGACCCGATGCACAAAATTCGTGCATGAGTAGGTCTTCCTTCCCCCGCCTGCCGGCACCGGCTTCCCTCTGGCACTGGCTTCGTCCAGAAGGATGTCTAGTCTAAATAGCATATTATACTTTTACTAGAGGCCCGGTGCACAAAAATTTGTGCACTCGAGGGGAAGGGGGGGGTCCCTCAGCCCGGCCTGTGCCCTCTCCCAGTCTGGGACCCCTTGGGAGATAAGGACCTGCTGACTTAGGCCTGCTCCCGGGTGGCAGAGGGCAGGCCCAATCCCTAGGTGCAGCCCCTGGTCGGGCTCAGAGCAGGGCCGATTGGGGAGTTGGGGCGCCGCCCTCTGTCACGCACAGAGCAGGACCGATCGGGAGGTTGCAATGTCACTCCCAGTCATGCTCAGGGTAGGGCCGATTGGGGGGTTGGAGCACTGTCCAAGACAGGGTTGATGGGGAGGTTGCAGCACTACCCCCTGTCATGCACAGAGCAGGGTCGATCAGGGGGTTGGGGCACTGCCCCCGTCACGCACAGAGCAGGGCCCATCAGGGGGGTTGGGGCTCCGTACCTTGTCACACACAGAGCAGGGCCTATCAGCGGGTTGGGGAGCTCCCCCCTGTCACGCACAGAGCAGGGCCGATAGGGGACTTGGGGCACCACCGCCTGTCACACACAGAGCAGGGCCAATCAGAGGGTTGGGGTGCCTTCCACTGTCAGGAACAGGGCAGGGCGGATAGGGAGGTTGTGGCCCCGCACCCTGTCACACACAGAGCCGCAGGGCGATCAGGGGGTTTGGGTGCTGCCCCCTGTCATGCTGCTCCAGGGGCCAGGAGGCCTCGCAGCTCCGCTGATCCCAGTGCTGGGAGGCCTCGCGGCTCCTCTTGACACTGGGGCAGTGAGGCCTCGCGGCTCTGCTGATCCCGGGTTCAGGAGGCCTCGCAGCTCCGCTGATCCCGGTGCTGGGAGGCATATTACCCTTTTACTATATAGGATAGAGGCCTGGTGCACGGGTGGGGGCCAGCTGGTTTTCCCTGAAGGGTGTCCCGGATCAGGCTGGGGGTCCCCGCTGGGGTGCCTGGCCAGCCTGGATGAGGGGATGCTGGCTGTTTGCAGCTGGTCATACCCCCTTCAGGGTAGGGGTCCCCACTGGGGTGCCTGGACAGTCTGGGTGAGGGGCTGAGGGCCATTTTTCAGGCTGGCGGATGACTGAAGTTCCCAACCTCTCCTTTTTTTCTTTTTTTTTAATTCTGGGATTTATTTACCTTCTATGGCTGTCACTGGAACTGAGAGCCAACTTTAGCTCTGAGGCTCAGCTCCAGCTCTGAGACCTCGGCTGCTGAAAGCAGGTATCTGGTTTGTTTGGCTTCTATAATTGAAACACTGTTGCAACTCCAGCTCAGCTGGCTGGCTGAAAGCATGGGGTTTGTTTAGTTTCTATAATTGCAACATTGTTTCTTAGAGTGCAAGCTCAGAGCCCAGCAGCGGCAGGTGGGGAACCTTGGCTTCCTCCTTCAGTGGAGCAAGCAAGCCTCCTGTTCGCTTCAGCTCCCTGGCTACCGGCTGCCATCTTGGTTAGCAGCTAATTTGCATATCGCCCTGTTTAGCCAATTGGGAAGCATGTCAGAGGTACAGTTAATTACCATGTTTGTCTATTATTAGATAGGATGTTATCTAGTCCCTTTTGAAGAGCAGCAAGATCTAAAGATGATTTTTATATAGCATACTAGAGGCCCGGTGCATGAAATTTGTGCATGGGTGGGTCCCTCAGCCCAGCCTGCACCTTCTTGCAAACCAGGACCCCCTTGGAAGATATCTGACTGCTGGTTTAGGCCCTATCCGCAGGGATCCCTAAACCAGCAGTTGGACATCTCTCTCGCAATCTGGGACAGCTGGCTCCTAATCACTGGCCTGCCTGCCTGTCTGAGCACCTCTAACCATTCTGCCTGCCTGCCTGATCTCCCCTAACCATTTGCCTGCCTGCCTGATCCCCCTAACTGCTTGATTGTCTGTCTGATCGCCCCTAACCACTCGCCTGACTGCCTGATCACCTCTAACTACTTTGCCTGCCTGCCTGATGCCCCTAACTGCTCACTTGCCTGCCTGATTGCCCCTAATCACTCGCCTACCTGCCTGATCACCCCAAACTGCTCGCCTGCCTGCCTGATTGCCCAGAACTGCTCACCTGCCTGGCTTATCGCCCTCGCCTCTGCCTTGGCCCCACTGCCGTGGCTTCATCTGGAAGGACATCCAGAATGATGTCTGGAAGCTCGTTCAGCTGTCTGGTCTAATTAGCATATTATGCTTTTAGTATTATAGATATGCCCATGGCACATGCGACCAGTAATGTAAACAATGTGCTAATAAACAAAAGGAAGAATAGATGATAGATTCTACCCAAGCAAAGATCTGCAATATGTTTTGACTATTTCAATGTAATTCAACTCTATGAAGATAGTGATAGTGTTATAATTTAACCCAGTTATTAATGATAGGAAAGGAGAAAAAAGAAGGCCAGAAAATATAGGCATGCCATTAGGACCAGGAAGCTACAGTTTGACACTCTCCAGGTCTGTTCCCTGCAGATCCTGGGGGAAGGGATTGCATAAAGGAAGTAGAGACACATGCCCAGTAAAGTCTGGATGACATAGGAAAGGT